ACAGTCAAACGAAAACTACACGAGGTCATGAACTTCTTGGTAAAATCATAATTCATTTAACAGGGAAAAATCATGACTTTTGCGAAGTTCCAACTAAACTCATAAATTTGAGAATGTCAAGTTTTGTGATGACAGCATAATCACTTGGAAGGCTTTTACTAAATACAGATGTCATAGTACAAACAATCCGGGCACACGAAATTGAAAAACTGAATTGGTTTTACTCATAATTAACATGTGATTAATTTTCCTTCCTAGGGAAGGGTTAATTATTTCAAAGGCTTCCAGACAGAGGCCTTATTGGAGAAGGGGGCTTATCAGGGAAGAAGTGGAGGGAACTGATAAGAAACCCAGTGAAGCTTTATTGCATACATTATTTCCATTGAAAAACCTACAATATTAAAAAGCATTGTTCCTGTATAAGTATACCTTCAGACTAAAAAGCTGCCTTGTCTAAATGCTAGAGTTTTCAATTAAGGTAAGGAGGGATAGGGGCTATATTTCATTCCCAAGAAATTAAGGATCAAGTCAGTCTCTTTACTTACACACAGTTTGTGGCCTGCTATAAGACATTTAGTACCCCAATTTTGATTTATAAACAGCATCTTTCACCAGAGAAATTAAATTTACATAATTCTCTTTCTTCAGGTCTAGAGTTTATGGCTTATTGATCCATTTTTTTTATCATTTCTTTAAAGTTGCTATGCAACAAAGCAAAATAGACAACATTAATTGAGTAAAGCATATGACAGGGTAATTAGAGTTTCCACCAGAAAAAGCAATCCGACATTTTTGGCAGACTTATCGCTCAATCTGTACTTTCATTTGTACAAATTCAAAAATAATAGAAATTATTGAAAAAATATCCTCAATTCCAAAAATCTGTTCCATGGAACATCTAGGACAACAAAGTAATAATTACTACCAAGCAATAGGATCATTCTGTCATTCTGGATACCATGGAGACAAGTTCGAGTCAGTAAACTCGCTGTATGTGCATAATCTTCATATCTATCTTATGTTCTCTTACAGAATGATTGATCGGGTGATTTTTGCCATTTTGCCCCTTTTTCACTTGAGAATGGTAACAGGAGGATGGCCTGGGAATAAAACATTCTGGCATTCCTGCCCTGCTTACTGTAACTGTTCTTTCATAGACTACACTGCCAAATGTGATTTGCAAATGATGGACAAGTGTGAAAATTTCGTTCTTCCCAACAACATCATGATGTTGTAAGTAAATATATATTTAGAGTCCGTAATAACAATATAGCTCTTATTTTTTTATATAAGGATTCACCGCTAGTTCTATTGGATGCAGAAATTCTATTTTTCATACGTTTATGAATAAATCTATTCATATTTCTAGATGGAAGACTGTATTGTCAAAAATTATATAAACTTCAAATCTTAAGATCACACAGTGCTGATCAATTTGCACTTTTTCATTCTATAAAACAAGATCATCTGATCACTCTAAGTCCCTAAACTCAGAAGGGTTTAAAGGTAAATTTGCTTTGACTTAACATATTACACTACATGTATGTTTCGTGACAGTCAATGATAGCAAAACACAACATCAAATGTTGTTTCTATAAATGGACATAGCATGCTGTGTTACATACACAGCTTCACAGCAGATTTTGGAGAACTTATTCAAATAATTAAGAATAACAAATTTCACAACCTTTGATAGCAAACAAGATGTGTTCGCTCTAGCCCAATTTTATCGTTTGCTGGATATATATGCTGGCTATAAATTCAATGATTTGATCACGAATTTAGCTGATGGCGTGACAAAAATAATAATCAGATTTTAGCAAAAAAATTTGTCGACGCCTTTAGCTTCTGTAAGAAAATATCAAGGCCGACTATTGACTGTTCTAACCTAAACTTGCTCTAACATTCGACGAATTAACACACCGAATAAACCTCGTGGTCATTACATAGTTTATGTAAGAGATACCGTTTAGTCCCTCTCTTACATCATCAAATAAGCTTGAAACTCCTGATTCAGAGTAAACTACAGGAAAAAACTATCCGAAGAAACTTGAAACGCTAAGTTCTCGAAACAAAACAGAAAACATAAAATGTCGTAAATGAAGGCTGTATAAATGTTCCGCAATGCCTTTGCTTTCTTTAACAATTTTGGCTTCAGTTTCCTTATCCGCTCCTTTTCCATGTTCTGCTTGGCTTCAAGCGTCTGAAGACAGTATAGGAACACTCATTGTCTTCGGCACCACCAACCATTACATCCAAAGGTATCCTCATCTCTCTACCAAACATGAGCTCGAACGGGGTGTGCCCCGTGGAGGAATGAACACTACTGCGATAGGCCATCATGCAGAAATCAAGGTGCTTATCCCATGTAGCTGGATCATCTTCCACTCTACCTTTTAACATGCTCCTTAAGGTTTTGTGCAGATTTTCTACGTGGCCGTTTCCCTCGGGGTAATAAGCACTGGTGCGCGTTTTGTTAATACTCAGCAGCTGGCACATTTCCGAGAACATTTTAGACTCGAAATTACGGCCTTGATGGCTATGAATGCTGTCAGACACACCAAATCTGCAGATCCAGTTCCTTACAAGCACCTTTGCACAGGTTGTGACACGCTGGTTGGAGATTGCAAACACCTCAGCCCATTAAGTAAAACTGCACTGAACTATTAAAATGTAGCGGTTTCCTCTCTGAGACCGTGGCAAGGGACCAACAACGTCAATACGGATGCGTTGCATGGGGTTGCCAGAGGTAAATAACTGCTGTGGTGCTCTGGATTTTACTCTTGGCTTACACTTGGCAAATGTCAGACGTCGATCGCAGTAACGATGCACCTCTTTGGTCATGCCAGGCCTCCAAGAATCTAGTTTTTCATCTTCATTAGAGTCTTCATTCGTCCTAGGTGGGCACCAGCAACGCCATCGTGACCTTCGACAAGGGCCTTCTCCACTAACTGTTTCGGTAAAACCATCATCAGTTTAGCTTGAGTTGCGTGGCCAGCTGACTTTATATAGAGAACCCCCTGTTGCAACAACATCAGTTCAAACTGGGTTCAGACAGCACGGGCTACATAGCTCATTGACTGAAGTTCCTCAACGGCTAGTTTCCTCCACTCTTTCAACAAATGACTAGGTACCACGTTGATATCTGGATCATTTCTTTGGGCCTGTGCAACCACTTTTGGGGACCAACAATTTCTCACTTCACTTGGGGTTTCACTGGTCGGAAAGTCTCTAGTAACAACAGTAACTTGAGATAGTCCTGTTGGAGTACACGATGGAAAATTCCCATGTTGTCGTCTGGGCCTTCTAGACAAGCCGTCTGCATTGTCGTGTAACCTCCCCGGGCGATCTCGTATCTCATAATCATACTCCTGTAAGCGCTCTAGCCAACGGGCCACTTGCCCTTGAGGCTCTTTAAAAGACATTAGCCAGACTAATGAGTGATAATCAGTCCTCAGGCGGAATTTTCGTCCCAACAAGAAATAGCTAAAATGGTCCATATAGGTTACCAGAGCTAGCATCTCTAATCCAGCTGCGCGATAGTTCTTTTCATGCTCATTCAAAGAACACCTCACATAAGCTATCACACGCTCAGTGCCATCGGGTTGCAATAGAGATTAAACAGCGCCACTGCCCAGGTGTTGGCTGGCACCTGTATCAAGTACGAATAATCCTGCATCAGGACTAAAATCAGGATATGCCAAGACGGGTGCAATGGTCAAGCGATGTTTCAATTCATTGAAGGTACTTTCTTGTTCCATCTGCCACTGGAAAGCAACACCCTTCCTAGACAATTTATTGAGTGGTTCTGCGATTATTGAGAATCCAAAAATAAACCGCCTATAGTAACTTGCAAGACCAAGGAAGCTTTGGAGCTCTTTGATGTCTACTGGGGTTGGCCACGTTCTGACAGTCTCAACCTTGTCAGGATCAGTTTTGATCCCCTCTGAAGAGACAACATGCCCAAGGAACGAAACTTCTCTCTTTAGAAACTGACACTTAGTTGGCTTCAGCTTAAGACCAGCAGTTCGTATCCTGTCAAATACTAAACGTAGGCGACGCAGATGTTCCTCGAATGAAGGGGCCCAGATAATAATATCATCCAAATACACAAGACAGTGTGTCCAAGTCAGTTCACCGAGCGCTAGATTCATCAATCTGGTAAAACTAGCTGGCCCATTCGTGAGACCAAATGGCATAACCCTCCACTGGAATTGTCCACGATGGGTCGAGAACGCTGTTTTGGGTCTTACCTCTTCTTTTACTTGCATCTGCCAATACCCTGACGCTAAATCGAGACAGGAGAACCATTGGCCACCACCCAGTGCTTCCAAGACATCATCGGTCCTTGGTAACGGTATTGCATCGTTCTCTGTACAAAAATTCAGTTCGCGGTAATCAATGCACATACGGTAACTTCCATCACGTTTCCTTATTAAAACAACTGGACTACTCCAGGGACTCTGTGACTCTTCAACTTTGCCATGTGCTAGCAGCTCGTCCAGCTGTTGATCTATGATCTCCCTCTAGTGCGGTGGTATGCGACAAGGAAGCGGCTTAATCGGAGCATCCTCACCAGTGTTAATTTGATAATCCATAAGATCTGATTTTCCTAAATCGGAATTTTTCATTGCAAACATGCCCTCATATTCGTCTGTCAGTAGGTAAAATTGCCTTTTCTGCTCCTCTGAAAGCCCATCTGAATTTGGCTGAATAACTTTTGCCCTTCTATTCTCTCTTCCTGTACTTTCCTGCTTGTCATCCCCCATATTCCTGTCTATAACTGAGCAGTATGGATGGTTGGGTGCCGATGGACGGGGGCCAATTTCGGTAGGAGTAGCACTGCCATTTACACCGCTGACAGGATGGTATTCAGCAACAGGGAGATTTGATCGTAATCTGACAACTTTGTCGGAGAAGTTGGCCACTCGAACAAGAGTCTGTCCTGCCTTTGGCACTACTAGGGAACGAGCAATACCTATCTCAGAAGTCCCCAGTAGTTCTTTTGACCCCTCCAGGATTCCAGGGCTTTCGGAATTCTGTTCATAACCCCCTTCTAATCTAGCTCTTATCACTTGTTCAGTCCCCGGTTCTAGCTCTGCATCAACACATAAAAAGATTCTATAAACACTTGGTGTAGTCTTGCGGTATCTGATTGGAATTTCCGAATCTCCTACTGCAAGAGTTCCTGTGTCATAGTGAATTTGACACTGATAGTGTTGAAAGAAATCTGAACCTAGTACAAAGTCACGGGCTAAACCTTGCACTATTATAACAGGAGCATTCAATCTTTCCCATGCGAATTCGCACTTCAGTTTCTCCCAGAACAGTCCGCTGTTGTAAGTCTTCCAGCAATTGGCTCCGGTTTTAAAACAATTCCACTTTTTTTCAAGCACTCTCACTCAACACACTGACAGTAGCACCAGTGTCCGACAGTATACACATCAAACGATGATTCACAAGTCCCGAAACATAAATCCCAGACTCTGATAAGACGGACAGCACACTTTCATTTCGAGACACTCCGAAATTCTCCATAATAAAACCAGTTTCTACTAGGCCTACCTGACCTTGTCCTACGGGGACTGGTTGGCCCTCCGCAGGCCCCGTCTTACATTTCCCGATACTTTAGTTGGACATTCCCGCGCAAAGTGACCTCGTCGGTGGCAAGAACAGCACACCGCGTCATCACGGCGCCTCGGAGCTGTTGTTGCCCTTGTCTCGTTTTTTCTTTCTAGTTCCTTAATTTTCTCGTTCACGCCCAGAACAAGCTCCTTAAGCTCACGTATCTCTGTCAAAATCCTCTCGTTTCCAGCCGAGGTGCTGTCTACACTCACGGATTGCTTCTTCTCAACTGACGGAGCCGCTTGACGATTTACGCGCGCTTTCTAATTGGCGAACCACGCGAACTGCCTCCACGAGTGATCCCGGTTGACTGATAAATAACTTCTCTCGTATTTCATTACTCACTGCCACTCCTTGAATTGACTGATCTCTGGCCAACTCCACTTTGAATGGATAAGCTGTACCTTGTAGTCCTCCCTCGTCTTACCCGAATCGAATCTCTTTATCAACTGTGCCGTAAAATCGTCAAATGACAAGAACTCTGAAAGCTTGAGAAGTTCCACCGCCTTAAAGGCCGGCTGGTCCAACATTGTGAGTAAATATGCTCGACGATCCGACGGCTTGATGTGCACAAGGTCGGCATACTGCACGAACTAGGATAACCGTGTTTTAAAGCTCTGTCCCGCTGAGTAAACACGCGGTGCTCGTACATTTCTCCTCGCTTCGCTCACCTCACTCGACATCATCATACTCTGCTTAAGCGCCTGTACTAACTGCTGCAGGTCACTGTTCCCTTCGTTCGGTTCACTCTTCATCAGTTTCTCTGGCTTATGTTCCGGCGGGAAATCTGGCGGTTGCCGCCATCGGCACCTTCGGGTATTTTCACTTGGTCTTTGTCCATTTTGTCGGCTCAAAATCCCAGACCGCTGCCACCAATGTAAGAAAATATCTCGGCCGACACTTGACCGTTCTAAACTAAACTCGCTCTAACATTCGACGACTAAAAACACACCGAATAAACCTCGTGGTCATTACATAGTTTATGTAAGTGATACCGTTTAGTCCCTCTTTTATACTTCGAAAATGTAAACTACGCGGCCTTGGGAACACTTTCACCATGCGTTTAAAATTCTTTTGAGATTTTTCGCAGATGATGGTATCTCAAAATCTCACGTCCAGGTCAGCTGCAGCTGAGAACGACTTGGTAAAGTTAATAACCAGCATGCATAAGGTTCGTGCGTTGTTTTACCCCTCAACAACTATATCAATCACAAACCAATTTCTCTCACGATTAGAGTTACCTGACTGAAAGAGTGAAGTTTATTGTTAGCTACAGTAGAAACTTTCCGGCCTACTGATCAATAAGGATAAATATTGTGTCCGAGGATATGGCGAGACATATATACCTGTTCAAACAAACTTCAATCTGCATGTCTGGTTAAGTTGTGGATCTTTCGGTTCTCCTTGAATAAAACATGCACGCTTGTGTTAAAGACTTTTCGTTTGATATCTGGTTAAGCTCAAATCACGTAGGTCTTTCGCGGCCTATGGAACACAGCTAGACAAATTTTGTTTGCTTCGCAGTTGTTGTTTTGCTTCTATTTGTATTGAAATTAAGATATGAAAATAAGTTAGACCTTATATATATATGTAAGTGAAGGAATCAAAGAGGAAGCATCGATTCTCTGTTACTCTGAGTTTCGCGCCTAAGCGCTCGTCAGACAGAACTTCTGCGAGTAAGATTTGAACCTAGTGAGACGGTCAGAAATATATGCTCAGATTCATCATCCAAGTTTAGAAATGGAAGGGATATCATCAAAATGTTTGGGTTCTTAACAGCAGTTTCATACAAATAAATAACTGCGAAAATTGAATGTTCGTTTCAGAAGAAATCGGCTCGCAAATAAGCGTTCTCGTGGAAGAAAGAACCCTAGAGATAGAACAAGTAATTTCGTTGGTGGACTCCGGAATAGGTTAATGATGAAACTGAACGCAGATTGTACACAGATTACTCTTCATTACAAATTTGGCACAATAAAGCCTCTGGAGTTTTTAGCATGCTCTGAAGTGAGAAAGATCGAAACCGTTCTTGATTGGACCCAATAAATGAATACGTCAGTAGCAGTTAATAGAAAAGTGGGATTAAATTCAGAACCAACAGTAGCTATTAAAAGTTAAAGTTCTGATGTAGTGGGAACCAATGTTAAAAAAACTTTTAACGTAATGACAACTATACCACTGCCTCTTTTTCAGAGACTTGTCCTTTAATGACCTCCGCGAATGGAGAGGAGATATCGCTAACACCCTTCCCTCCCTACAGACGGTAGAATTCACAGGAAACCATTTATACTTCCCAGACAAGAATCTTTTTGAAGTTCACAACCTTAAAGAAATTAGAGGGATCACGTGGAATATTAATTGCGCTAACTGCACATTGATTAACACTAAAATACTTGTCAGCTCAAATGAAAGTGACCTGGCGTGCATAGTGACATCAGAGGAGTATGTTTTTTCGGAAGAGATTGAATATGGAAGGTCACTTCTCTTCGTAAAACGAGGGTTTTCACCAAAATGCTTATGTGAGTCAGACAATTGCGTCGCGGAAGAAATTTACTTGCCTTATGAGCTCACACTCAACACGTTACCAAGAAAGTTATTTTACACTGAGTACATTCTAGGTGCCATTGCAATAATCTTAAACCTTGTCGTCATGTTTATTTCGTTCGGATGCCGTTCGCTTCGCACTAGCACTTCCTTCATTTTGCTGGGAAATATCAGTGTTTGTGACATCTTTATGGGTGTTTACTCAGTCTTAATAGCCAGATACACCGTATATGAATTTATAGTTAACGCAGGCAACTACCCTAGGATGGACGTATTTGTTAATGATTACTGTACCATAATGGGAGTTATTTTCACGACGGCTCAAATAGTCTCAGTTTCAAGCTCTCTTTTGGCAACGGTGGAGCGTTATTTATCGATAGTGCATTGCATGAATCCGGGAGTAAGGTTGAGAAAGACCACTGCACTTAAGTGTGTGACGGGAATATGGTGTGCTGCGATCGCCTACTCGCTTCTGCCGGTTTTCCAAGTTGGTGGTTTGAGATATCATGGCGAATTCACATGCATGATGCCATTTGTGAACGGGCCTAATCAACAGGACACGTCAGAGGCTGGCCTCGCTGTTGCTGCCCTGCTTGTTTTGTTTTATGTCATTAGCATTGCTTTATACTTTCACATCTTTCTCCATGTTAGAAAAGCAGGCATGAGTGCCGGTGTAAAGCGAAAGGCTGCCTTGGCTAAGAACATTTCAATAATGGTTTTTACAAACTTCATATTCTTCATATCACCAATGGTATGCACTTTACTGTTTGTGTACAGGTTTCAACAACTCTTTAAAGCTTTCAGTATAAACACTTTACGAAGCCTTAAAACCTATTTTATCATGCTCTCCTGGGCTCCGGTTGTGTTTATCAGTTTCAATTCTTGCTTAAACCCTTACCTGTGTGCATTCAGACATCCAAAATTCCGAAAAGAGATTAAAGTTTATGTTGAGAAGCTTCAGCGCTCTTTTTTGCGACGATCTCAGCACAATTTGCCCCAGGTATGGACGCTTACAGCTGCGGAACGACTGGAACTTACCTCAACAAATGTTATTGTTGGAAATGACAATGTTAGCTGTGAGACTTATAGATCACTGGAAACTTTGAACTAAACCTGAAGCGGATGAAGATTTTCCTTAACTGCCTCAAGCATCGTTTGTGACCACTGACGTGAAATATGTTTCGTTTATTTCACAAGAGTTAATTTTAACAGTTGTTTATTTGTTATGGAGCACTTAGTATCTTGATGTTTTGATGCTTTTGAAATTAATTAGTTTAGTTCATGATGATGACAGTCACACAGTAAAGTATTTTTTAACATTTCGGCCATAGTTATTGGGGATATCCACCTGATTACGACGGGGAACTGTAATATTCTCACTCAAACATGCTTGATAGAGAAATGCATAATAAGTGTTCTTCAAACCTTAAAACACTGAGGGCAAACACTGAGGAGTAGGCTTTATTGCAAGTATCATTTTGGTGTGGATTGACCATCTGCTGAGACATGCATTGTTTCCCCACAAACAACTTTATAGAGTTGTAGGAATATGACCACTTCCTAGGGGTTTTTGACACAACTTTTGATTTCTAGAGAAGAACTTGATCTGTATGATTAGTATAAACTGTTTCATGTCGGTATTAAAACCTAAAGGTCTTAAAAGTTGTTGAGTAGTCAGTTCTTTTGTTTGCTGCCAAATGAGTTTGATTTGAGGCACAGAACAAGCTTCGCACTGCGCGGCGAATGTTCCCCATCTTCCAGTAATACAAAATGGGATTGACACTCGCGTTCATGAGAGCCAAGGTCTCTGCAATGTCCCACAAAATGTTTTGGGATATGTTGAAATCTTGAGTAAAGATGAAACGAATAGTAGCAAAAGCGCTCAGGGAATAAAAGACAAAAAACAAAACGACAACATACAAAATGGCGGCTGCAGATTTCCTTCTTCGTGAGGCTGACCTGAACATTTCAGCTTGTAGTTTATTTTGATTCCAAATCACCATCTGATGTCTCCGTAAAATGCGAAAAATTTCGGCGCAAACTGCGACCAATGCAACGGCGACCACCACCATGATGGCGACGCTAATTGAGGAAACAACGTTGATGCTAACACCTAATGGCCAAGTGCATACAACAAGACCCCATGACAACAAAGTCACAATGACCACAGCCAACACACGAGGAATAGTGATGAGGACTCCATATCGCAAATGCAAACGGAGAGCGATCAAGCGTTCCAAACTTATTGCAAGCAAAATCAACATGGAAAGAATTCCGGTGTATAAGAGCAAGCCTTCTTTGACAAGCAACAAGAGGCACCAGAACTCGCCCAGCAGAAGTCGTGCTTTAAAAGCTACGAAAACAGGATGAACAACGCAGCCTACTGTTAAATCAGTTAAAGCCAACGAACATAGGAGCACGTTTGAAGGAGTGTGAAGAGACGGTGTCTTGACAATGGCAGCGATAACGGGCATGTTTTGTACCGTGGCTGTTAAGCAGAATACACCGTTCAACACCAACATCGCCACGTTCATGGGAAACATACGGAGTCTCCTAAGAGGGCTATCAATGATGAACGAGCAGTGAACTGTCTCGTTTTCCATTTTCTAAAGGCAGATGTTATTAGCTTGATGATGAGGAAGCCTTGAGGGATGTTATGGTTAAAGTTTTCTTTCTTCCGCTAACGTGTAAAACGTCCAACTCTAAAACTGCCGGAATAAAAGAAAGAGCCTTGAACAAAAACAACACTACTTTAACTAAATTTAAAACTGAGTTCCCTTCTTGATTAAACTGACTTTCTAGATGTCACAATTTTCGAGCACGCAGAATTAATAACTTTTCGTCCTTATTTGAATAGACCCAATCATCATATCAAGCGGCTTTGCAAAAACAAAATGCAAAACATGAATTTAACCTCTACTAACATGGGAGTAGAGCGGCATTTTGCTGCCACCTAACCTGTTTTCACATTGCAAGAAACGATAACACGAGTCATAACCTCAGCGACCAAAACAGGAAAAAATTATTCAGTACAAACATGACTTAATTGAAATTTTTTGCGTCAATACATTGTCAAAATTAGCAACCATATTCAAGTATCACTCAATATCACTGAATATACATGATACCACACTTCAAAGAGTGAAACGAATATTCAACAATTTGAGCAACTCGACGTGTACAACACTGTAGCTTGTTTAAAATTTTCCTGATAATATTTCCTTACTGAACTACATGTATCAGAGAAATAACAAATATTGTCGCTAGTTTCCTGTTTAGGTAGCCGTGATACGTGACTATTCTAATTGCGAGCTAGTGGAAATATGAAATGATTTTGAATAACATATCTGAAATGTAGAAACAGCTACATTTACCCTGGTTAATCTTAACAATTTTCATTTTTTTCGTTGTACTTAGGTTTAGTGGAAAAAGTCTATTCCCTGATCTCAGTTCTCGCTCTGGTCAAATTAAAAAATTATTCATGATGTAGTTAGCATCACGTTCTTAGGCTAATTTCTCGGTACACCGAACGCTTAAGTAAGCTCTCTGATTACTCTCATTGTTGCTTTTTAGCTGTCAAACTTGTTTCATTTCTATCGTTATCATTACTACCTATATACACAACCATTCTCCGGGTCTTTTAAATACTGCTGCTAATCTCATGATTAGAAGATACTGGTAATTTCAAATTTATATTATCAATTTTTTTGTATTCATAACTAACACTGCAAGAAAAAAAGACATATCATGAATAGTTAATCATAGGTAATGGTAAGAGCCTGGGTGAGATAAGAGCTGTAGTCCTAAGCCCATTGGTATAGAGGTCGGATAACGCTATCCAATGGATAAATTACTATCGTGTGAATAAGCGATAGCAAAACCTACAGCGTTAACCACCGTATAAAGAATTATCCAGTGGATAACGTTATCCAACCCTCGAACAACCGGGGCCTGATTCAGTTCATCAGGAGAGAGTTTTGTGTTGGAAGCCTGCTAAACTATCACTCAACTTCGCTGGTTAGACCACTTTTTGAGCCGCTGATAATGACGTGAGCCCAAGTTTAACATCGCTGTCCGAATAGGTCGCGCCGATGTTTTCAACTGATGTCACATCAGCCATACTGAAAATCAGTTCCTTTGTTTCACCAATGCAATATAGCCGCTAAACAAGGGAATTGGGAAAGTTCTATTTGTGGCTAACTACGTTCACTCCGCCTTTCTCAGCTCAGTCCGTCACGGGAAGCAAAAGTAATGAGCGTAAATAAAATTAATCACCGCCGCGCTAGACTATGAAAACATTCTTTCCCCCTCTTTTCCAGAGTTCAAGCGAGGAGGATAACTCATTACTTCTTAATTGCACGACTTTCTACCATAGAAAAGAGGGACAGCCTCTTCTGATCGATTTTTGAGAGGATCCACAGAACTGTCGACATGTGGGGTTGATTGTTTCAACAAAGTTTAATCGTTAGTTAACAAAACCGCGTTCTAAGCCACCTTCGATTTAGCCAAACCTTTCATATGGATCTTTTTTTTTTTGGGAACAGTGTACGCCAAGACGTCCAAAAGCTGATAGTAGATGGGCATTTTTTAATTAAATCGACCCTCCTATAGAGAATCCCTGACGCCAACTGCTTGCGAAGAAAAAGCTGCGGTTGGGGTTAGACCTCATTTAAATAACCGGCCCTTGGTGTCCACTTAAATGTACCGCACTAAATGACAGCGTCTTTGATTTGTTCCTTCCATATCTGGGAGGATTTTTGTTTGTTTCATTTATGTTTTTCATTCCTAAAATTGTGCAAAATCAAAGAATTTTTGGAAGGAAAATGAAAGAAAATTTATTTTTAAGTTATCATTTGTGTGTTTTTCGTGTTTTGTCTTACCAAATGAAAATTGTTGCTTTACACTCTTGACAAGGAACACTCAAAGAGTACTCGAAATAGCATGTAACCAATTCCTCTAACTTAACTCGATTACGAGTGCCTTTCTTGATATGAACAAATGATTGCTACGCGACTAATTTTCAGTATAATACAACTAACCCACAGCACGTTTCTCTTGTCAGTTCATGGTTGCAGATGTACTCTCATAATTTCAAAAGGTCCTAATTTCTATTGTAGCTCTTCAATGCAAATATCCGAACAAAAAATAAAAGGACTCGTTGATCGGAAATGTAAAGCTTAGAGTACTTTTTGAATCATCCTTTAAATGAAGATTTGGACGTGCACCTGTTTCAATGTTTAATGTTTTACATTATTACGTACAAACCAAGTGTATTTGTTAATGATGACCTACTAAAAATGTTCAAGAAACTGAATAATAATTGGCAAAAAGAAGCCGAAATGCTGTGTTCAAGAAAGGTGTCAACTCAGTTTTGGCCAAATTTAATTCATTTGACTACTTGTCATTAGCTTACGCTCAAATTTTGCATTTTGCAATTTTCCCCGCCTACAAATTACTTTAAAACCGAAGTAAGATTATGACCACTCAGTTTTTTTAGAACGAGCCATTTATTGAGTACAATTTCTAAAACAATCAAGAAATCTTAAATAAAAGCATAAATTATTTTCGTTTCTAAGCATTGTTAGATTTAAAATAATTCCAGGTCACCTTCTAGAAGGAAAACGGAAAAGCTCTCTTACCACCTAGGTGGCGTAACCAAAGTGTCATTACGGACAGTGATAAATATTCGACACCAGGATATCTATAATATAATAGTGCTAATTTCAAGTCTACAAATCTACTTCATGAAATCATGCTATGACAATCCACATTTCACTTTTTCATGTACACATTGTTTAATTTCAAGATTTTTACCCTGGAGTTTTCTCGAAAAAAAAATTATAAAAATTGACCGAATTGAAATATGACAAGCTAAACATAGAGACACCTCTTGAAGACGCAAATATAAACAAGTTTTTTAAAGGTGTGAACATTGTTCGCTTTGGCTTCGAGCCCACACTTAAAGTAGATTACATCTGAATTTTTATTTTCTATTCCGACTGAAATACTTAAAAATTCGAATTGTCATTTTTTCTTTCCACATAGATAGCTGGCCAGCATTCCCTCGCCATAGAATCGACTGGTTTTTCCTCTCTCAATCTACTTTTCTTTTTATATCCGCTCTTTACTCGAGAGTTTTGCCCTTAATAAAGCTCAGTTTCTAATCTCCCACTCTCTCGCCTAAATTTAAATAAAATCTCTCCTTTTACAAACTCAGTAATGTAGCGTAGCAAGTTGTAGTTACATAAATCACTACTTACCTTCTAGCGTCATTTAATTTAAAATGTTTCCTTTTTCCTTCAAAGCAGTTAGGAATAGACATAACACAACGTTCTGATACGCAAGGAGAATAATCGGGGCTTTACAATGGGCAATTCTTTTATGGTCATGCACCGAAACCGCAATCCATCTTGGGATATGCAAATGTTATCTAGGCAACCAGTCGGAGCCCGAAAACTTAGGATAAAGAATAAGTGGGGCCATGCGCAAATTGAAATGAACTAATAATTTTCTACAGAAAATTCCAAAAGAATCGAGAAAAAAATCTACATCAAGTATGATTATAGGTATTACACAAATTCAAATTTTCCTGGCATGAGAAGCAACCTCTTGAGATCGGAGTCGACAACGAAAACTAGTTTTGTACGTTAGCGGCAGCTACTGTTAAGCGAACAGAATCCTTTTCCTGGGTAACATTACCACTCCTGTATTATTTAAATATTCTTACAGTACAGATTCGTACATTGGGTAAAATATGAAAAAAATAGCAAATAGTCATGATCTCGTTATGGTCAAAGATTCAAGTAAACCGCATTCGCTGAGAATGACATAACCCCGTATTTCTTTTTTAAAAAGATCCAAGAATTGGAACTCAGTAACCCAGAGTTCTGTTAATGTTTTAAATTTGCCAAAATACTATGTTACTTAACACCAGCAGTGTCATTTTTAGTGAATCTTTCAATTCAGGTAATCAAAGAATACAAAAAAGCAATGACGGTAGCCTCGTGGTATTCAATCTTTCAGATCCTCACTCTAAAAGCGATAATCCTAGTGTCATCAAACAACACTTAATACACAAAACTAATAACACATTTAATGCCCAGCAAAACAATAACTAATACTTTATAATCTCTCGCGATGTTATCATTTAAGGCTCAAAACGGTTTCGCAATTTTTTAAACTCAACTGATTTGCGTTCATGTTATCAGCAATACCCTATTATTGTTCGTTTTCTTGAGTAAAATAATGGAAATATGCTTAGGTATTGCAATTTGCCGATTCGGGGGTCATAGGACTTGTTTACAAAATTTACTGGCACATAAGGTTTAAGAAGCTTGAGCTTATTTGTTACTATAGTAACCTGCTCATCAAGTCCACCTTGTTGAAGTAACAAATAAAAAGTTGTTGTAATATTAATCCGTTAAACAAAAGATGCCAACAATTCAGGAAACCGATGAGCCTCTGTAATGTACTTCCAAAATATCTAGTATCGTTAAGCTGTTAAACTGTGAAACGTGACTGTTCAATTCCTAGTTTTAGAGATATCATCTCCTAAATATAAGTTGTCATAACTACGACTTGTTACAAGTATGAAAATCACTCTAACCTAAATACAAACTAAAATACTACGATTCTTAATTGAGTGAGAGGCGACAGAAGATCAGCAAACTGTGTTGTTTTCACAGGCGGGAAACTAGTTCCATTTCCATTCGTTTGAGCTCTTTTGGCGGGTTTTCACGTTTGGTGGTTGGCGACGCGCGGCTCTTGAAATTCGGTTACCTCTGTAAATGAGGAAGGTTGCCCGTGACAACACCAAAATTTCAAGGTCAAAACCCCGTCACCAAACTCTTTCCGCGCCTTTCTCAAGTGATAATCGTAGCATCTTTAAAAATTCTAATTTGATGATAACCATGCATCCATGTTTGTGACATGAATACCCTGCAGTTCACAGTTTGTATGATGAACAAAACTTTTTGCTCCTCTTATGAGCAATTTCGCATACATTTCGCAGGTTTGGCTTCGCTGAAATTCGTCCCGATCTTCTTATTCATTGAACACTCTCGTCCATCTTACAAAAACAAAACTAACCTTAAAAGTTGTTGCATCTTCCCGATTCAAAACTTTGATCAATCAGAGCAATCCCTGATCATAATTTAAGTCATATATGGGAAAAAAGTGGGGGAAAGGGGCTCTTCGAAAAAAAATATGAAAAGCAATGCAATTAAAAGACAAAGTATACATCTTCACATTCGACGCGCTTGGTCGCGAATATGAATGAAATATAACACTGATAATAATAATAATAATAATAATAATGAATAATAATTGAATAATACAGTAACAATATTTTCACCCCTTGCCTAAATAGAGCGAAGTCTGGACATTTTACTGTTATAATACGGCAAACACGAACATCTAAAGGACTATTTTAATAGTTTTACTACAAACAGTTTAGATTTTCATTCGCCTGACCGCATGTTTCCACAAACACAAACATACGGAAAATAAAATATGTTTAAAATAAATGTACTACAAATATCCTCACGTGACTGTACGAGATTATGTGCAAATCTATTAAGAACTGGCCCTCTAAAAAGCTATAAACACTTTAAACTATTTTCTTAGCCTGTGCCAAGCATTATTTAGTAGAACGGAGCGCAATAGCAAACAGCGCTATAGTTAGGGAATAGTGGAAAACCGAGAGAGGTTTGGGTCTGGTTCCTCAGTCGACCCAAGTTCCCTTCCCTTTTATACTCCTGTGCTACTATTGCACCGCTTGCTAATTCTATCCATTTTACTCAAGTCACCCAAGCTTTACTTCATGTAACAATGATTCTCTGCATCACAATAAAAAAATATATACGTCTAAATACTAACCAAAAGTGTGGAACTAACAACCAAAATAAAAACTTAAACTACTTTTACATGTATTCAGTATGTTCCTTTACCTAATTGTACCTTAAATTAGATGTTAAGTTATGTAACTGTGAAGTCAAGAACAAGAAAACTGACAACATCTAACCCAAAGAATCACTGACCATCTTTCTTTAACCTGAGATCTTTCAATTCCTCCACATCTTTTCTCAAGTGCATAATCAGTTGGTAGTGGTCACTGAGTGCCCAATCGTGTCTTAAAAGACATGTTTCAGCTGAGACAAGACTTCGTTTCAAGGCCCCTAGCTCGGCCTCAGTGGCGGCAACATCGCATGGATGTTGATTGGTGCTTGATCCTTTGTGCTGTCTCAAGAAAATCAACTGATGCGTTACAACACAGGCGTCTAGATGAGTCTTGAGCTCTACGGAATCCATCCTCTCCTAAGTTGATTAAAGGAGAAATGAAGAGAGCTAGTCATAAATATTTTCAAGTTGCCCTATTTAACAAATTGAGAAGCCTTGACTGCGCTCTTTTCTGTTAGAAAGCACGCAGGAAGCGGTTAGAGCACAGAAGTAGTGTAGGGAGAAACGCGAGACTCTAGCTGCTTCGTAAGCGCTTTACAACAAAACAAGGCACGGTCAAGGCTTCTCCGTTTGTTTTATAATAAAGAATCCGTTAAATTCCCCAAGCATTACTTTCAATTTTCAAAACGAACTTTATTTCCAAAGCGGACAACAGTGTCGTCAGCTCGCAATATACTCTCATAAGCACGCTACAATAAGCCAATCAGAATCCCTGTTGGAACGGTTCAAATAATCTGATAGGCTGTACAAGACTAAAGCTGTCAAAAATGTCAACACCATCAAAGTTCACCTTCTGCGATAGTCTACAAACTTAGTTCGGCAGGTCGAATTTAATACTTTTGCCTAAAGTTTTTTTAGTCTCTAATACAGAATCTGAAAGTGAAATGTTCAGTGATCTTCAGCCGAATTGTGCTCGTAAAAACACGCATTTTTTCCACATGACAAGAGGAACACAAACTGCGGAAGGCGACTGTTTTATGAATGAACGAAAGCCGAATTCACCAGAACATGAAGATCGCTTGTGATGACAGCGCCGTAAAACTCGGCTGCAGTGACTGATGCGGCCTTCCACTCAACGCATCAGAAAGGATATCAGAGGAAGCTCTTATTTTTTCACTCGAAGGGCGGCCGATGTATTTTCTGAGGCTTGCTTCACTGCGATGACCGGTGATCGTCATGATGAGCTAGCAGCGATGGACCACAGATGGCCCAAGCTCCAGCTGTGAGATGATCATCTTGCGAAATAAGAGTCATGCAAAATTATGAGAATTTGTATGGGAATATTTACGACCGCTCTAAGGAATAAAAAATACATTCAAATTCTCAATTAAAATACCCCACCTTACTTCACAGCGCATCGCTTGCTATCTGACCGCTTACTATGTTGAAAAGAACCCATTTTGGTGAGTTATCCACTTCAAGGTTTACTACGTACATAGGAAAAGCTTTTCTTATGTACGTAGTAAACCTAGAAATGGATCTTTCAACAAATGATAGCGCTTGTTATATCCGAACATTATTATAACATTTGTTAAGCCGAATTTTAAGTGCCATCTTTTTACGGCGGTGCAAATGACAAGTTTTCCCTCAACCAGTTCTCTTGTCCAAAAGTTGACATGCCAATTTTGAACTCGGAGAACTTTTAATGAAAATTTTACCAAGAAAAAGTTTTTTTTAAGTCTAATTTATGTGAAGAAATCCTCTTGTAAAAGAGATTGTAAAGGGAAATTCCCTTTCACCAAGCTTTCCTAATGTTGTTGGCAACTTTTGTTAGCTAGCTTTTTGTTTCTTCCAGATGCACAAACCAAGAAAAATGCGGCTTTTAAAAGATAAATTCTTTACGAAAGAGTAGTCTTTGAAAATAATAAAGAGTACCTTTTCATTTCGTATGTATAGCCAATCTAACTTGTAAGACCAAACCACAACAGTCAATCACAACAAAAGTTGAGAACTCAAAAAATAAAAAACCAGAGTGATTTAAAGAGCGATAACCAAGTCGTAATAAGTTTCAAATTTTTATTTGATTGGTGAAGAGGGTAACCTTAAGGCAACACTGGTCCAATCCGGTGTTACTTTCGCCATCGGAAAAAAAAAGGAGAGAATTGAAGAAAGAGAAAATTTCTTTGAAATTTAATCTTGCGTTGATAGTTAAAGATTTCATTTTCCAGGACAAAGCACAGTCAAAAATTTCAAGAATTTGTATGGGAGTAAAAAAAAATTAACCCATCAATTGAAACAATTGAACATCACTACAGTAAGAGATTAGTCAAGGGAACTTTCCCTCGCTTAACTCTACAAATCAGTTGTTGAGTTTTTTTTTTGACATCCCAAAGAATGGTTGCTATAGGAGCACTAACTATTTCTGACATTTTACATTTAATCACTTTGAGTTCTCATTAGTTCCTTTGATATTTTACTTGCAGGTACAAGTACTCATTGGCTGTTATGGCTTTATTACTTTTTGCAATATTCAAACCCATCATGCCCCGAGATAAACTTGATTCTTGTTTAACTTACAAATTACACTAACAATTAAACTTACAGGATGGTCACATCCGTACTCTCTGTATGGACACTCCATCTGTGTACAATCTCCATCCTTTGCATCTAAATGCTTATTCAACTGTAATGAGCAAAGAGGTAATAATTAATTAAAGCTCTGAGCAACAACACTTTATGATGGCGGGCTACACCAGGGCAGCATAACAGTCATCCAATATCAAAACTTTGCCTTCTCACTCCTTTCTTAATTTTTTCAAAGATTAAATAAAATTAGGGGTTAAAGGATTAAATGTTGATGAAAAGCCATTAGTTTGTTTGTTTTCTTTGTGTATATACAGCAGTTAAGCAAGGAAACAAAGCAAGCATGAATAGGCTACCATGGAGGGGGAGGGAATTAAGGAAATATAGAAGTTTTTACTAACTGTTTCCCCCTCTACCATCCATTGCATTCACCCTGGTTTTGCTTGCACTGCAGACAATTTAAAGAGATAATAGAAAAAAGGAGTACCTGATCCCCTTTTTTTTTTTTTTGAAGTTAACCATTGGTGATAGAGTACTGATAGACATGTAGTGGAATGATCTAATGTTAACAAATGAAAAGAAAAATAACAAAGAAAACAAAGGATATTTTTTTCCTGCAATGTGAATTGATTGTGTCTTACATTAATTTTTGTACATGCACCATACCTCACGGAGCTCAATGTTTTCTTTCCCACAATTTGGGCAGGTGACATGCGTGTATTCACAGACATGACTCTGCAATTTTAATAAAGTTTGGGAACAAATTAATTTGGTAATGGGAATTTGGCAATTATGGCCATTCCACTGGGTTTCCAGGTCAAAGTAATTTGTCAATTTCATTAATGAATTAGGAACATGCACTTATTTAGAGACAGCTAGACATTTTTGTAGCCTAAAATAGTATGCTATGGATATCAGTTTAAGTTATATGTAAGTAATTAGATAACATATGAGTTAATTCTGATGAATAAGTTTCTCATAGTCCTCTGCTAAATTGATCAACCAAACTTTCTGAGGATCCTTTTCCTGGAAAAACTTATCTGTTCAATAATCTGCAAGCCTCACTGCTCTTTAAGCCAATAAAGGTATCAAAGAAGGATTCAAACCTGCAAGTATCTCTTAAGAATAAGCTAATACTTTTAAAGTCTTAATTACATGTACATTCAAGCTTCCAGAATGTACTGTTGGCAACTTACTGCGTGCTCAGTCCATTTGATTGCTGAATTGCATGAGTGGCACACCACATTTCTAAAGGGACATTCCTTCTCCTGGTGTTGGGCTAATGCACACAGTGGTATGTTTTGATTACAGCCAGCATTGGTGCACATAGTTGGCTTAAAATTGCACTCTCGGTAATGATCCTACAAACCAATGAAAATAATATGAGAATCAAAAGTACTTATCATTATTTTAGTTATGTTGAAAACATTTTACAATGTATACTTCTTACACAATGCTATGTAAATTTATCACAGACATACATGTGTATATAGTAGTTAAAAGCTAAGTCTAACTTTAACAATGTTCAGGACTCCTATGTAGGCTTAACTGTTTTTAATTAACATTGGTGACATAATATCAGGAAATGATCACCTAAAATATTGATTCAGAAACCAAGAAAAAGGAAGAGAACAATTTGTGCTTATGTTAACACCCCCTATGAGTAATAATTATATTAATCAACATTTTATCCATTCCAAATGTTTATTTCACTTTTACTTCAAACCATATAAACACAACAATAATCAATATATTACATGATCTTGCTACATGACTGCCAATTACAGCATGCTACACTGGACATTTAAGAGCCAAAATCTTTTTTTATACTTGCCATGGCTGTTAAATTGTTAAGCAGCCTGAAAAATGCTGAAACTCACTCACCATATTAATGTATACAGAAATCAAACATATCTTAATTTCCTATAATATTAGGAAACAATCAATGCATGCCAATAGGACTTCACAATGTGCAATTTAAATGATTACCAAATATTAAGCAAAATAAGTCTCTCAGTCTATAGTTTTATATTAATTCCAAGGTTATAAATAAACAGAGCAACTATAGGGTTATCTATCATTTTAACTTTTATCTTGGCATTCAAATGACCATACTTCAAAATAAAAACCTTTTATCCATGGCATACCATATTTTATTTAATCAAAACACCCCTAATCAATTCAAAGAACAGATTGCAAATAGTGACTTTACAGGTTTTCAGTTAATTTAAGGTTTATTTTTTTTTAATATTGTTGGAGGTTTAAGATTTTACATCTCCAGATTTCCAAAACATCCATCTTAATTGTTTTGAAAGGGGAAATGAGGTACATCAAATTCATGTTTCAGAGTTATTTGACAAACCAATAAAGAAGAAACATTTTAAACAGTCTTTTGATCAACTTTTTGAAGACATTTTATTAATTAATTTATCTAGTATTAAAGTTATCTTTGTACTCACTTCTGCATTTTTGACAGCATCCATCCATTGACACCCAGCATCTTTGTACAAACACAGAGTTACAATGTTCAGTATCTCTCTTCCAAAACTGTTGTCATCAAAGTACTGTCAATTGAAAAGAGTGCAACAAGAAAGTCATTGAAGTTTGCCAACATTTATCAACATTACCAATAATAGATGCTCATTCAATAACTAAGGATCTGTAACTGCACAACAAGACAATCTTTTATTCCAAACCCACAATCACTTCTGAGATCTCAATGGTAATTTTTCTCTTTACTTTCTATAATCAATAATGTAAGGTAATAATCAATAATGTTAAATAAAATAATATCCATTAATTTATATCTCTCTCTTTATACTCTGATTACTATCTTTGATCTGCTTGCCATGCAGTGTATTGATATATTGAAAGGGGAAATTAATTCTTAACCAGCTCTGAAAGTGAAAAGGTTTAAAAACAATGTAGCTGCACCAACACAGCTAAATGTACAATTGTATCTTAAAATTTTTGTACAGTATTCTCATTACATAGTAAACGAGATCTGGTCACGTTTGATGAGAAAATGTGTAAATTACCCAGCATTGTATAATGTGCACATATGCTACTTGCTACAGTCATTCACCCAACTTATCACTCCTGATGCAAACTTTCTAAATAAAAATTAAATAGAACATGAAAATTTACCAAAAAAATAAACATATTACATTCCAACACTCCAAATTTAATAAATAGACATACTTACCGAGTTTTTCCCCAATGGTCTGTTGCAACTCTCATCTAAACACTTCACAGACCCTGAAGACCTGAAGAGTATAAACATTAAAGAATTCATTAATTAACCAAATTTATCACATTGCATGTACTTAGAAAATTAAGTGTGATCACTGTCAACAGGGAATCATGGATTCAACTGCTAGCAGGTGTTGTTTCAGCAATGCATGGAACCAATACATGCTGTTAAAGATGTATATCTAATTGCTGCAGTAACCATTTGTAGTTTCGTCATGATTCCCTCATTTACTGTAATGTATAGTGGTGAAGGCTTAATATTTAAATTGTGCACCCATGAGGTGGTCAATGAACACATATGACATGCATTATAATTAGGAGATGTTTAAAGCATCTTCTTCGGCAAATCACATCATAAGACGTCCCCAGATTTGTTAAGTCTATTGCAAATTAAAGAAAAATTGAAATTGCGATCTACTCACGGTTCATGAGTAAAAATCTCCAATAGGCAGGTTTTGCAATAATGGTGACCGCAACAGGTTTGTAATGCTTCTCGCAATAACAGACCACATGACTTACAAAGGTATTTAGCAGGAATTTGCGCAAAGCCAACCAGTCTAAACCCAGGCATTCTTACTAGTTGTTAATCTAAAGAGAAAACAAAGCATCACTGGAGGTTAACTACACGAGTGTTTATAATAACACTAATGGTGGATTTCATTCTGTTAAAATATGAAATCCACCATTAGTGTAGCAAAATTAATCACGAGTCTAATCAGGGATTCAAGTCCTTCATATAAACAGCGGAATGCTCTTCATAAGACTTTAGACGCCATTTCGGAAGTAAAAAATGAATATGCTTCGATAGGCACTTTTTCAGCTCATATATGCGTAGAAAAAACAATTAACAGAGCAAACCATGCGATGTTTGAAGAATCCTTAGATGTTATTGAAAATATTCACTTACAATGGTTAGAATGGAAACTAACGAACCAGTTCTCTTATTCTGATCTAGAACTTTTTGGCATTTTTTTGAAAACATTCAGCATCTTGTAGGGCAATTTCAGCTTGCATGGCCGGCGATCGTGCGTTACGCAAGATGAACAGTTTATCGAAACAACGGATTATTTTCACAGTTTGTCGGCATCTTTAAATGCCGTCTAATGGAAGAGTAGATCATTACAGCGAAGGTTGTCACATACTTGAAAACACTTAGCGACTATCACCTCTTTATCGGCGGGCAAACTCATTTAAAATACACGCTTCACTGCGAACTGGAAAGATCTACATTGAACACTTAACGTTCTATGCGAACACAATGCGATGCAATGTTGCATCGAATGTTGGCTTCTTTTCGACCCTATTTCGAGCATAAAATAGGAATGAACACTTGATATTTTAAAAGACGTCTAAATGGGCTTATCATGAGATAAACTTGAAAATAGACATACCTGTAAACATCCGCCTACAGAGACCAAAACGTCTACAAACAAGATCGTGTCTCGTGATTAATCATACTCTAAACTCGAATTAGGGGATTCCCCTTCAGGTGGGCCTGGCCAATCAAGCGAGAGAGGCCAGAAACGAGGTTGTCTTTTCACGTGTCTCTCAATGTCAAAGTTGTTTTCATTTTGTGAGACAATTTCTGTTCGAATTTCGACAGTTTTACTTTGAAGAAAGCCATTTTAAAGCAATCATGGATTGTTCTCGTCAACAAGCGGTCTAACGTTAGTACATGGCAACTTTGAGCCGGAAACTTTAAGTTTGAACCGCATGCGAAAATATTGTAGATGATCGTGAGGAAAAAATTTGAATTGCTAACTAATATGGAGGTTCGTGTTTTTACCCTGAAGGTGATGAAAGCTCAGTGTAATTTTGTTTTTGTAGTAAAGGAAAAATAAAGCAACTTCCAATTTGTTAATGTTCACTTAGTGAACTGTGCTAAGCTGCCACATATTTATGAAGCTCACCAATTCAACACACGAAGGCATGTCTCTATTTTTTACGACATTTCCCACGTTACGGCTGGATAATTTTTATGAGCCGTAAACCACAATAATAGAGCACGTCTTGCTACTTCACATCAGCTAACAGTCATGATGTCGTTAGATAGGGTCAAATATTTGAGTAAAGCTCATTCGATAAGACTGACCCATCATTTCTTTAAAAATTCCTAGAATTCGAACTCAGCCAGCTATATGCAAAAGCCACATTTCAGCCAACTTTTCTACTTTCAAAAATGCCATGTTATTGAACACTAGCAGTGTCGTTTTTAGTTATAAATTACAATTCAGGCAATCAAAGTAAACAAAAAAGCAATGACAGCAGCCTCGTGGCGCTCAATCTTTTTAAAAGTGATAATCCCAGTGTTATCAAACAATATTGAATGCACAAGACCATTAACATATTTATGCCGAGCAAACCGTTGTGAGAGGTAAATTTTCAAAACCATCCAAACAGGGGCGGAGATAGGTCATACTTTCTGACTTATACTCTTCTCTCGATGTGGCGGATTGGAGATCCGCGCACCTGTGTGATCAACAGAGTACGAGGCAAATATTTTCTGTGAACGTAACATGTAAGCATAGTTCAGTTGAAACCATCCACTCACAAATTGGTTTTGAATGCAATTTATAACTTATCACCTAACCATTTACCTCATTCATAAAATTGCTAAATAAAGATTTTGATACTTTTTGCCTCTTCTCCGAGATGCAAAACCAGTCTTAACCACCCAGTTACAATTTGAGCAACGCGTTGTTCAGGACCAACCCAATCAAAGTGAATACAAGGCAAAGAAAGTGGCTTTGTGACGTGCAGTTACGTAAAGGTCCCCACTCTGACAGCGAAAATTCCAGTCTTATCAAATAATACGGAACACTTAAGTCAAACGAAACTTTTAATAGCCACTTACCACCTTTATCTCTATAACATAATCGTTTACAAATCATATTACCTAAAGGTAGCTCAAAAGGGTTTTGTTATTTCCTCCTCTCTTTTTATACTAATTTTCTGATTGATCAATACAGTCGCCTTTCTTCTTTTATTGCCATAAAAATAATGCGCACATTTACTTCGATTAATTAATCCAAGCTCTGAAGCTGTAAAATATATTTTGAGAGCTTTGGGAAACGATTAACCTTGACAGCATGACTGCAGGTTATCAAACTTTAATAGTAGGAATTTCAGGCACATTAAGCAAAAATCAAGGTTGTAGTGTTGCTATGGTGACATACTGTGCAAGAGAAAGGACTCAACTGCAATTTTAGAATGATCAATAATTTACACTTTACCTCCCTGAGTGACCAAGAGAGAAATTCTCCTCACATTATCAATACAATGCAAAGCATAAAAGTGATGAGGACAAAGGAAAATATCAACTCAGGAATTATGAGTTAATCCGATACCAAATTCTCCAAATTGACATCATAAGCATGGAATGAACTATCAAATGACAAATGACAGAATAAAAGTAGGCACTAATGAAATAGTAAACAGAATTAGATCGTTAAATTACGGGGATTAGTAAATTTGTAACATTAGTTTTAACCAGTATTTTGACTATGGCGGTAATATTGTAATAATAGTTTTAAATAGTTTTAATCAATATTTAAATCATGATTTTATCTGATGTACCGTGATATTAGTGTTGTTTAGTTGTTAGGTTTTAATTAGTTATTAGGTGGAATACCTGTAAACTAGCTCTTAAGCTAAGTATATATCCATTTTTAATAAAGTATATGTATGTATATATGTATATATTGTGGAGAAAAAAGACAAATAAACAACCAGTTCATCCCTACAGACCTGTTTCGTGGTTTTCCACTCATCAGGGGGCAATCATCTCATCCCCTGATGAGTGGGCAACCACGAAACAGGTCTGTAGGGATGAACTAGTAGTTTATTTGTCTTTTTCCTCCCATAATATATTCATCGCTCTACTCCTATGTATTGAGCACTATCTTACGTAAGTCAAAATTTTACTCTTTATGTATATATGTATAAGAATTGTATGGCAGACAGTAAGGAGAATTACTAAAGAGATCTTGAGTTACCGGGTTAAAGCAAGAACAAAAGTACTAAGAATTGATTCGTCAATAAATTAGCACAAAAGGGAAAAAATTGTTTTAAGTCAACTTTTAGAGTCACATATATGACTAATGTAAAAATTAATGACTATGTAATGACTAGACATTAAAACTAACTAAATAACTCATTCGCACTATTTGGCATGACTGCCTAACTGCCCGAATGGAAATGATAAGACTACTTCTTTACTTTAGGGGAGCTTAAGCTTAATCACCATTAGTTTCAACATCCCTAAAAGTTTTGCAAGAGTTTTTATCACGGCTGTCCCTAGCTCACGTCTCGAGAAGCGCAAAATTGTCTGTTCATTCATAAAAGCGATGCACGTTGCATTCTGGACGCAGAAGAGGAGTTTGGGATGCCTGCGTTTTGACAAATTTGCGGTTTGCAATCCGTGTAAAACCTTATCCATCACTGACCTTTCTCGTTCTCTCTTTTAAAGCCTTTTTTTCTAAACCTCTAGATCAAGCTTAATTCTGTTCTTCCCTAGTCAGTTTTTTTTCAATTTCTGGTGCAGAATTGCAGGGTACACAACAGCGAGGTATACTGGGGTATCCTTTTTTCGCGCAAAACACATGCTCCTTGGACGATGAACCACATATCTGTCTTGTAATCATCAACCAAAAGAGCAGTTATACAACAAAATCATAGTTGGGAATAAATAATGGTACCGGTAATAAGACTGAGTGGAGTCCAATTCAGTCTATAATCATACACATGTTCATCCTTATCAATCCTAAAAATTACAATTTTCCAGAAAAGAACAATAGCCAAGTTATGAAAGAAAACTGTTCGATAACAGACTGTCTGATAACAATTTGGCAAGTGGATTAGTGGAAAATAGGAGCTTATTGAATCAATCAAAAGACAATGGTGGGAATTGTAATTTTTATGATTAGACCCCTTATGTTATCTATAGACCCCTCTATAGCACCCAAGACAAAAATTTTGATATACTCCTGAGCAGAGCAGTTGTCAAGAAAGCCCGCTCGCAAGGTACATAAATCACCAGAACCACTCTCGAGTTCTTCCAGCTTTTGCTACTGGTTAAATCTTACGACAAATTTAAGCTACCTAATTAAGAAATAAATACGCAACTATTTGAACATAAACTACCAGATCCCGGTTGTTCAAAGGTTGGATAACGCTATCCACTAGATAAATCGCTATCCGGTGGATAGCGCAGCACGTTTTCTTGACAGTTATCCGTTGGATAGCGTTATCCACTCTTTGAACAACTGGGCCCAGATATTAAAAAAATAGTTGGTGTTATTTTCACATTGTACCTAATGGAATATCTTTACGGAAGAGAATCCCATTGACGGTATCAGATTTCTCGTACAAGGCAAAACAAAAAATAATGATACAGTTCAACTACTTTAACTGAACCTAAAAAAACCAAAACAATGAGTTTGTGTGTAGGCTAATTAACAAAATCAAATTCACGCTAATTTACGAATATGGAAGCGATACTCGTAGTTATGAACACTACTCAACTAGTAGTGAAAATAAGACCTGAAAAAAAAAAAATTCGGGCCAGTACGGAATTTGAACGAATGACCTCTGCGATACCGGTGCAGAGCTCTACCAACTAAGCTAAGGAGCCAACTGGAAGCTGGTCATTATGTTGTTCTCGAAAATAACATGTATATGTAACTACTAGAAAAAGAGATAAAAGAAAGAAAAAACATTCATGATTGCTTTTAAGACTGATCCTATGTGACCAGATGGGAAACTAACAGAAAGTGCCAAACGTAAAAATAACATTTTTCCAGGATATGAAATACTCTAAGAAACACATCACGTACTGTGCGAGATTATACTTGCGCCTTTTCGAATAAGGCAACGGACCATTAAACTTTTGATAATGGTAGGAATGGGTGGGGGAAGAAAAAAAACTGAATAAACTTTTAAAATAACCTTTTAAATCTGAAATGCGGCATCAAATGAATATATATAACTTGAAAATCGTCAAAGAAGACTCCGAGCCCTTAGATAGAAAAAAAGAAAGAACAACAAAGAGGAAATAAAATAACTTCGTGCCAATCCATCCACCAAAAATCAAATGGTCCTTAACTAAACTGAGCAAAACACATCGTCCGTCGGAAGCGATAACGGATACTGACGAAAACCAGCCGTATGACTGACAACCAGCTATCGGCTGGATTTTTAGGAGAACATTCTTATCTCGAGTAAAAAACCCTCGAGTAAAAAACCCTTAGCAACAACACCTGAGTTGTTAGAAATGACTTTAAAAAGATGCTTATTATTCATATAAACATTTAGTACGAAATTAATACCGGAGTGTCACAACAAAATAATTAAATAGCGTTTTAGCGCTAAAACATACAAACGTTAAAAAATAAAAACTTCTAAAAATTACTTCTTTAGAGATATATATACGAAATTAAAGCATTACCTGAGTGTCACCGCAAACTAATTAAATAGTTTTCTAGCGCTAAAACATACGAACATTAAAAAATAAAAAATAAAAACTTTTAAAATTGTTTCTTTAGAGATATTTATGTTTAAAAGGCAAAGCAAACCGAAATGACAAAAAAATGATAATCTGAAATCCTGTAACAAACTGAGATAGCTATTATGTGACTCTTTTTACATGAAGACTCTCAGTTTATCGACCAAGTGGCTTACACAAAGGGTGCTTAACTTGGTTCTGCTAAAATAAAGTGACCACGAACGTTGTTTATCCCCTGGATCGGATATTAATAATAATAATAATAATAATAATAATAATTTTATTTATATAGCGCTAAAATCCAATAATTGTCCAAAGCGCTACCTAATTACAAAATAAAATATAAAAAATATAAAATATCTACAATATACAATATAATTCAAATATAGCCTAAGTTATCTACTATATAAATCAAAAACATCTCAAAACAAAAGGAATCTCATAACCTATATGCTAACTTAAATAAAAAAGTTTTAAGGGATTGCTTAAAAGTTGCCACTGAAGCACATTTCCTAATCTCTAGAGGTAAATCGTTCCACAATTTAGGTCCTGCAATAGAGAAAGCTCTGTCTCCATATGTTTTCAATCTGCTTCTTGGAACCACTAAATATTCTTTACATGAAGAACGCAATGACCTAGAGTATGTTTTAAAATTCAAAAGGTCAGAAATATAAGAAGGTGCAAGGCCATGAAGGGCCTTGTATACCAATAAAAGGACTTTAAAAGTTATTCTAAACTCAACTGGTAACCAATGAAGATTAATTAAAATAGGAGTTATATGAACATGCCTCGGTGTCAATGTGACAACACGAGCTGCAGCATTCTGAACTGCCTGTAGTCTAGCTAACAGATACTTAGGAAGGCCATGTAATAAGGAATTACAGTGATCGAGTTTCGAACTAATAAATGCATGAACTAAGATTTTACATGTATCTTGGCTTAAGTACTAGCGGATTTTAGCAATATTTCTCAAATGATAGAATGATGATTTGCAACTCCTATCAAAATACATATCACGTGTTTGATAGAACATGTAAACATGGTTGAAAGTGAAGAAAACCTTCTTGGAAGGTATACGAGAATAAATGCCTTTTTGTACAGTACGAGCAGTCCCTCCTTTTCGGCGAAGTCCGTCGAAAAAAAAATCATCTAAGAAAATAGTACTTGTAGTTAGTGCGCTGCAACTCACTCCCACAGTTCCACGCGGTGAACCACAATTTTCAATATTCGCTTTTTTTTTTTGGCTGATTCTTTTCGACTCCACGACGGACTTTGCCGAAAAGGAGAGACCGCTCGTAGTACTTCAGAAGGCAAGCACATGAAATTTATCCCTTAGTGAAAGCAATGACATAGGAAGGAGAAAAATCGCGCAACATGTAAAACTGAAAAAAGCGGGTCCAAACACTGAACTACAATCGACTACTGAATCCAATATATAAGTCTCACAAAAACTGAATTAGGAATGGACAACGACGACAAACTGAGCTAAAAAACGTATTCGCAGGCTAACACGGGAGACCATAGCAGAGTTGATATGTCTGATAACTAACCCTAAATGATATCACTGCTTTAACTTTTTATAAAAACTGCTCACTATTTTAGATACTATATTCTTCTGCAATGGATTAAGCTTTGTCACAGTTGTCCACTAATGGGGTAAAGTCTAACGAAGACTGGATGGCGGGTGGAAGAACCATAAGAACTATTACAATCTCACACCAACCACCATAAGATTAAAATAATCTAACACAGAATGGCTACTACTACTAAACTATACATTACAGACTGTACAATACATGACCTCGTGTCAGCAAAAACCAGCGATGGAACGATCAACACAATAATGCCTGAAACTTAAACAAGTTCATAAGAGGAACAAAAATTTAAAAATACCTTTTGAATGAGTTAATATCGAAAATAGTTATGTCAAAGTTAACTCGATCAACTGAAACAAACTTAAATGAAGTTTCATTGTCAACTCAAAAAAGACCATCGCTACCATCGTGACATACCTTTGTAAGAGCCAGCGCATGTTTGATTGGTTTACTGTCGTTTTGCCTATGATTCGATAGGAAGTCGATCAAGTTCTTCCGATAGAACCACCAATGGTTTTGTAAAAAGCTAGCGAAACGACCAGTGAGACGTTAGCAAAACGACCTGGGACGTTGGTGGAACGACCTAAGACGTTAGTGAACTGGTCGTTAGCGAAACGACCCATAAGCGAAATGACCAGTTACCGTTTGATTGCTTCCAAACGTTCGTCAAAGCGCCACTAATAAGAAACTATATACACAAGTAAAAATCTACTTCAGTTCTAGACAATGAAAAAAAGATGATCCACAGTATTTTTAACTGTCTAAAGTTGAAAAAGTTACCCTAAATTTGCAAAAAGCCAAAAATATACAAAAACGAGAAGAGTTTCAGTAAACCAGTCAAAATTACTCTAAACGTGTACGAAAACTACCTGTGCAAACCCTGTAAAAACCCGACTACAGACTAATACCCAGACTAATTTCTAGTAAACTATTTTCTATCACACAGTGAGGATGGTAAAAACTACTCATGTGCTAAATTTATCACCGTTTAACTACATCACCATCACTTCTCTAAAAAATAGTCCATATTTCAAATATTATCTTCTACTACATTTAAATCCATAACAGTACAATTTCACATTCATAACTACTTAAAGAAATTCCATTCTTATCTGTAATTAATGTATATATATATATATATATATATATATGTGTGTGTGTGCTAATCAATGTACTATCTATGCAGCGTGCAACTAATTAATAACCCCGTCTCCTTACCCACGAGATTTTTTCAATTTCTCCATATCTTCTTTCAGAAGACGGATTTCTTGGTAGTGGCTTTGGAGTGCCCAATCATGTTCTGCAATAACCTTTTCATCTGCAGCGAGACTTTCTTTCAAGGCACTTAACTCAGCCGCGTTAGCTTCCACGCGATGGTCATTCATACCTCTCTGATGTGGCAACACAAGCAACGAGTGTGGGACCACATCAGCATCCAAATGGGCCCTGAACTCTTTGGGATCCATCTTCTCCTGGAACAATTTTAAAATTAATTAACAGACTGCATCATGATAAACATCGCCTATTCCCCTTGTCCAAAAACTGACAAACCAGCTTTTAGCACGGAGACATGTCAAGAAAAGGCTTCTAAAACACTACGTTTTCAGGCGTGGGTGACTTGAAAAGTGAAGTCTCTTGTTTGGCAGTGCTTAGTTGTATCCTGAGATAAGTGTCTCAGTAGGCAGTTTTTCAGTTACCACTGTTTCACAGTGACGCGGATGACATGGAGGCCGTCTAAGGAGATAAGGAGATTTTGAGGGCAAGTTTTCTTTGAGCAGCACTAACGGCTGAAGTAAACAATGGATAAATGTTCTTTAGCAGAACTGAATTTGCAGCCAGAATTCTTTGGGATGCTACTAAAGCATTAAGCATGAAAAACCATAAACAAGTGTGAAGGGGACATACTATTCCAGCGCTTTACTGAGGCATGAGATGAAATGCACTCAAGTTGATTTCCGATATAGTCCACATTATACTGGCGGTTAGAATAACTTCCAACATTGATGCTCAATCTCGAAACGCTTTTATCTAAATTTAATTACTTTTTAGCATGTAATCAGGCTAACAAACTTACACAATGCTCACATCCGTAGTCTCTGTATGGACACTCCTTTTGTGTGCAATCACCGTCCTTTGCATCTTGATGCCTCTTCAACTGTAATGAGCAGACAGGTAATAATTAAAGCCCTGGGTGACCATATCAGGCTTCGTAATTGTTGCCACGAATTAATATCAGTCATCCAATGTGCTTAATTATTCTTTACGGCTATCACAAAAGGCGAAAGCATGTTTGCTCCCATTAACAGTTCTTACAGTTTTAAATAAAAACTAAATAGCGGCTGAGAATCTCATGCTAAGATTCCTACTTTGCATGATGAAATTATAATTTGTTTTCATCTAGCCAGGAAGTGCAATCGTATTTTCTTTTTTATTTTTTTACATTTTCATCACAGGGGTCTTACTAATGGAAATTAACATTACAAGTTCGCGATTGTTTATTCGGGAGGCCATCTTTGCCTCCTCCCTTTTCCTTTTACAGTTTTGTGCAAAAATAACGCAAGCGAAATGCGCGAATTTCTTTTTTTGTTCTCGCGAAAGTTCGAATGACAATTCGAGGCTTTTTGAGCGAATTTTCCCTTGAACAAAGAGCGCCATTTCGTCGAATTTTCGCTTCGAAACGAAAGTTCAGCGAAAGTTCAGCGAAATTTCGCGATAAAAAGCATCGCCTTACTGCCTACTGGTCGAAATTTCGAGCTGGATAGACTCAACTGTTTGCCATGCGACGTACGCGATCTATTAATCATATAACGTTCACGAAATACACGACAGTTCCTCCGCTAGAGTTAGGTCACGAATACAAACGATGAGAAATACTCGCCTAACTTACCAAGAATAAAGACTTTATGTTTCGTTTTATACCAGAAAAGACAAAACATTAGCCTGTTCTGATCAATGCCATCAGATGCTGCTGTAATAGTAAAATTTCCGCATCGCTTTTGATTTATACGAACAGTACACCTTTTTGGCAGATATGGTATCCGAATGTTTCTTTAGTTTTCGCAGATTACATTCACACATGAACAAATTTGAATCCCGTCATTAACCCGGGAAGTTTGGAGAGTGCGAAAGAAGATTCTAAAACTTACTTTGCAAGTAAGAGAGTTCAGCCTTGCTGCTTTCGCGATCTTCGCACCGTGGATGAATTAACGAGAATTCCTCGTTTTGCCAGCTTCTTTCGAATCTCCGCGCTCGTCGTCTCGTCATTTCTACGCATCTGCTGGTCTATGAAAGCTCTTGCTTCCATAGACAGCTTTTTCGGTCTCCCCGAGCGAGGTAAATTTGCTACGAAGCTATTAAGACGCAGATTCTTGATTAAGCGAGTGATGCCTGAAAGGCTCACTTGTAACACTTCGCTTTTCAAGGTTTTAAATTTTCCAGCTGGATGGAAGCCCTGGCTATACAGGAGTTCGATTCGAGTTCTAGTATAGCTTGATATTTTTGGCATAATAACTACCAGAGTGCTACGAGATCAATGAATGAATGAGAGAATTGTTTACGAAGCATCGGTATACCATGCGTTGCCATGGTTGCGAACAGTTCACGACACGCTTCCTCGCGTGGAGTCTCGCCTACAAATTGGGAATTTCATGTGTTGTTATATGACAAAGTTATTCATAACAAATGGCGCCCAGTTGAAGTTCCACTTGCCTGGAGTGTTTGCGTGGTCGTTTATACTTAGACTCGAACACCTGGCTGTTCGGATCACATCAACAATCGAACATTCGTTGAGGTTTTAACAGGAAGGAGCGATAGAATAGTTACTTGAGTGGATGACACTGATTTTGATTCGAATTTTTTTCCAATGCATTACAACAATACATGGACTACACTTCGCTGTAATAAGTAGAGCGAATTTTCTCTCGAAATTTCGCACCGAACTTTCGAGAAGAGCGAACTTTCCCACTAGAGTTCGCAACTCAGTAGCGTCCACAGCGAAATATCGTTCGTAATTTCGTTCTCGGAAAGTTCTTTCGCAGCGAAATTTCCTCAAAAAGCCAGGAAATTCGTCGAAGTTCGTTTGCGTTACTTTTGCACAATACTGTAACTGTCGCCCTCCCCCTGGGTTCAAATCTCATTGAAAGCATTGTATAAGTAACTTGTCGCCTCGCAGTTAGGTAAATATCCACCTTTTATACCCACCTCCACTTCGGTGAATAGCTCTCAATTAAAATTGTGATAATTAATCCCCCCCCCTCCCCTCATAAAAAATATAGTAATAGTAATATGTAACTGTAATATAATAATTGCATTCATGTGGTTGAAGTCTTTACCTCACACAATTGAATGTTCTCTTTCCCACAATTTCCACAAGTAACATGTAGGTTTTCACAGCTTTCACTATGGTTCTATAATGTAATGAATGTTAATAGTATAACCATACAATGACTCAATCACAGTGAAAGCTACATGTTATGGAAGTCAGTCAATAAGTTTACTAAGTATCCTATTGGATGTATAAATTATGTTATAATTTCCTCTTGTACGTTTCTCTTAGGTTATACTCTTTTGGACTAGATCTGCATTATAAAACAATGAAAGCCCTTTCAGTCTTAATTGATGCAGAAGCTAAATAACATGTTGTTGCCTCTGGGTATCATCATGAGCAAAGGTTCCCCAAACAAGCAGGTTTCTTGGATATATTTAAATTTTATACATTAGCTCTGACTTACTAATTACTTGATTTTAAATGAAGCTTCCAGCATTTACTTACTGCTTGATCAGCCCACTTTATTGACTTATAGCAGAAGTTGCAAACCACGTCTCTAAAAGGACATTCCTCCTCTTGGTGCTTGGCTAATGTCCTAAGTGGTATGTCTTTATTGCAGCCAGAATTGACACATGTCACTGGCCTACACTCACACTCTTTATAATGGTCCTATGAACAGATCAAATAACACCAAAATTTAAATGTAGCGTAAACTTCATGCAAAAAAATATATAAATTCAGGACCCAAATGATCTCTGAGTTGCCTCAGTCTTAGTTGACAGAGTTAAAAATAAAAAGTGACCCAATCTGATCAGGCCTAATTCAGCTTGATCCTCCAAGCCCAAGTGACTTGAATCTGAACTACTTCCAGAACCAGCATGGGGCTAAAAGTGATGTCTTTAAGATAACAAACTGCGTGTACTATAAGAAAATACATTATCTGTGAAATGTTGAATAAATAAACATAATATTATTTGTGCATAGGACACATGTATTTGATGTGCTATAGATGTAAATACCATCATACAATTAGTCCCACCCACCTTTCCTTCAGATCTTCCATCAAATTTTCATTTATCCTTCTTTTCTTTAATAGGCCCCCAAGACATGCAAATTTGGTGATTAATTATTACATTTTAAACCATAATGTTATTTGACTTCAAGAAATAGAAAAGTCAAACACATGCAACCAGGGAATATATCAAGCAACTTGATTTATCATATCATTTACAGCTACAAGGTATTAAAAGTAATCTCTTTACTCTTACCTCAGCAGATCTGACTTCACCAATCCAATCACAACCAGTATCTTTATTCAAGCATGGTGTAATAATTTGCAGTATTTCTCTTCTTGTGTGAATGTCACGAAAATACTGTCCATAGAAACAAAAAAAAATGTGAACTTGCATAATATTCTCAATTTTCCAGCTGAACCAACCAAGTAGTACATTAACAAATGAAGTTACACAAGCAAACATAATCTCCCTTAAAAGAATGAGATGGCACTTGTCATTCAAGTATGCAGACATTTTAGGATACAAGAAATTATGTATTTATTGTGATCCCTGTGAGGACAATTTTTTAATTTAGGTTACATAATATCAACATTATGAAGCCACTTCTATAGATACACACAATGTATGTTAGTTCCTATGTTACCTCCTAATATGTAATTACATTACCAACATACATATACATCAGGGATGTAGATAATAGCCAGAAGCCAGGAAAATTACCCGGCTGTGAACTCAATTTTTCCAGCTGTGAAGCACTACTTCTTTCTCCAAAATGTTTCCAAATGTTGTCAGAAGATTGTTATTTATTTATTTCATTTGTTTACACCCACCTTCAATTCTAGGTGTAGCGTGCCAAAGGCACGCTAGAGTGGGCCTTCCGCCCAAATACCCGCCTATCATTGCAAGATTCCCACCTGTTAAAAACTTTAGCTACATCCCTGATACATCTTTTGTTCCCTTGATCCGACTTTGATTTCTTTAATTAGTAAAGGACCGTTACCTGTACTGAACCCATAAGAATTCTGTCAGAAATACATCTATTTCCACCCGAGTTAAGTAACTTCAGATGAGGACCATTACATGAATTAGTACATATCATTTAATTTAACATGGTTAGAAATAAATGTGTGACCAAAAATTGTTTCTACAACAAACTGGAAGTCATTTTTTTTTTTAATGTCACTATGGCATATTGGTTACACATCAATAAATGTAAAAATGAATTTTGAAATCAGATGAGAAAAATAAAAGAGTATGAAAAAATTGAGGGGAACAGATCTGGAACTTAAGTTTCAATCACTATTAATAATCTCTGCAACTTATAGTGAGCAAGAAAATTCAGGCCATTGTATTTCCTTCCAGAAGTATCCAGGGGCATATTTAAAATCTCCCCTAAAAGGAGGGGGCTAATATAGGAAGAAGGTGCTTAATCAAAAGGGTGCTTATTAAGTTAACACAGCAATTTGACAAAAAATAAAGAAAAGATAATGCTTATAGAGGAATTCTGCGAGTACACGGAGAAAAAAATAACTGGGATGGAAATTGATTCCACTATGGTTGAAGCTCAAAAAGTTGTAAATAAAGTGGCAATTAATTAGAAACAGGTTTTCCTTGTATCCCTGCGACTTAAAAGAATTGAGGGAGGAGGGGCCTGTGCTTATTGAAGAGGGAAATTTGTTTGTTAGTATGGCCAAGGGGAATTGTGCACTTATTTAGGGGAAGGCACCTATTAGAGCACAGGTACTTGTTCAAAGAGACATGACATTTTAATTTCTTGAGATAAATCTTGCCTGAGATATTTTAGGACTTTTGCCATTACAGACCAACTACTTAAGCTCCTTCACTTTGCTGCAGGGACCAATTCAACTTGACCACCAAATAATTCTTACAAATCACAACATCACAGTCTTATGGCACACAAATTTTCAAACTTTTACAAATATGACTACAACATTTAAATACAGATATCTTGGGAGGACCTAAAATCCCATGCACATAGTTAAATTTATAAAGCAGTACATATAAATTTCATTATTACACAGAATTCTCCATCTTACTTGTACACTTAACATTTAGATTTTATGGGGGTTTGTCTATTTCATTATAATAATTCAAATATCAGAACTGGTAATCAGAAATGCTTCTTCCCTCTAATGGCTATAGTGATTATGCACATCATCATTTCCACAACATACCCCAGCCTAACACTTGTATCTTAAAACTTGACCTATTGTCTCATTTCATTCAATTCATTAAAAATAAAACTACATATCTCTTTAGTCACTTGATAATGAAACTAGATGTCCATCATCATTTAAGTATACTTTATTTGTCCATGATATTTATTTTTCCTAACTGAAGATGAAATTGTATGTGCTCTTATTAACTACGAAAAATGCATTTATTTATAAGTTTAAAATAATGCTTAACCTTTTAACTCCCATAAGTGACCAAGACAAAATTTCTCCATACAATATCAATACAATATCAAGCAGACAAGTGATGAGAATAAAGAACAATTATATCAATTAGGGGGGTATAAGTTGATCCAATACTAAATTCTCCACACTAACATCACAAGAACTGTATGAAAGACAGTAAGGAGAGTTATCAATGAGATCTTGGGAGTTAAAGGGTTAAGTATGGATGAATTACAAACATAATTACCCCTTCATTTCCAATTTGACCGCTACAATTCTGGTCTAAACATTTGACTGCCTTTAACACCCTAAATAAAAAGCCAAGAGTAAATCTATTAGAACATACAATCAACTAACAGCAACACCTTAAATCAAAATTATGTTTATGTATACACAGTTGCAAATGGTTTGAGTACTGATTGGAATACAGAAAAATATAAACTGCAAAGCCAATGGATACCAATAGGAGTTTCAAGTTAGGGCGTGCAGGGACACTGAGTTTGTTGCATGACCAGATTAGGGTACCTGAGAGACCCTCTAGAAAGTAACTTCCTTTGCACTGTGTGAACTTCATTACTTTTATTCTTTCTTTAACAACTTTAAGTTGACAAAATGAATTTTAAAAAAATTATTAATTATTAACAGTTATACAGTATTCATTATTCACAAAAATTAATGTTTGCATTTTATTAATGTATCACACAATAAATAACATTTACATGACTTTGACACTTAAAAGCAAGTCACGTGATCAAGTTACTTAAGGTAATCCAAATTTGGTGATGCACTTTTAGAATTTGGTTCAGTTAAAAAGTGATGATGTCATTCTGCATTATGGATTAATTAAATTCCTGAAAGCAGTAGTAATGTCTTCAAAATCATAGCCACATATGAAGTTTAATTAAACATTCATCACTATGTTGCAAAACAGCAATGCAGAGGTATGTCTTTGGTACAATCCCTTACTGCCCATAATTTCATTTTAAGTATTACATAACTGTTTTGAAGAAATCCTATGACACTAACCAAGCTTTTGAAACTTATTTGGCTTGTGTTGATAAATATACACTTACCGTTCATGTTCTAACATCCTCAGCAAGCAGTTTTCACAATAAAGGTGGCCACAAAGTGTTTGTACAGCATCTCTCAATAAATGACCACATGATTTACAAATAAACTTGTCATCAATATTTGCAGAAAATGGAATTCTGTATCCAGACATCTTTAAATATTAAATAACTCTGTCTGTTAATCTGAAATAAAAAGGGAAGGGACATTTACTCAAAGCTGCAATTACACTTATTCACCACCAGTAAAATTATTTGGAGCAACTTGATTGCATGTGAATTTTGAGGCTTTGGTAAAATTATCACAGAGCAGTGCCCAGAGCAGAAAGACCAGCTGCAACTAAAATGATAGTGTCACAAGTACAAGACAAATTCTAGGATTAACTAAGACTTAAAACCTTCATCTAACATCAAAACATATTACACACTATCAACATCCAGTACAATTACTAGAGGATGGTCAAGAGCATTTAAACAAAGTCATTTAATATTACCAAAAACATCATGATTGCAAAAATTGATTAAATAAATTTGAACTCTTTCTTACACATTAATAATGCCAGATACTGTAAAAATAAATATGATCGACTGGAGATAACTAATTGCTCAAAGGTATACAATGACATGAACTAAAAAACTAAGATTCTGGCAGGATCATGCTAAATTACAAGTTGATATCCTCACGTTGTATAGAAATATCACCACTTCGTTTTTTTACTTTCCTAGCGAGATTTGGTTTTTTATTAATTCCTGGTACCTAAAATTTACATAAAGTATCTTTTATTACAAGATAAAACTAAAAAACTTACTTAATATTTATCAATATACATACTTTCCATTTTAAGCAGTAACCTTAGTTTAATCATACCAAGAAATTGTCACATCGATCGAAGGATAAAACTTTTGAAAGTAATGTTTAACTAAGAAATATAATTGAAGTAATTTACATCATCGTTTTAAGGGTTTTCGCCACTCCATTCTGTTGTCATTGCCTTCTAATCTACAACCCGCAAATATTGCTGGTAACATTTCTCGATGTTGATTAAACAATTACAAAACTGACGGCTTATCAAGTACAGAATCGAGTTCACATCAGTATCAACTGCATATATGCGTGGGAACACAAACTTCTGATTAGGTCACGCATGATTAAAGCACTGAACTATTACTATAAAGGACGCAACGCCATTTTGTGTACAAAGAAATAATTGCTTTTATAAGCGTAATTTATTTCGCCTTCCCAGAAGAAACGAAGTTTTCTTTTCATGTACCTAACTAACGGACAGAAAAGACTCCAGGAATTAATAGAATCCCTTGAAATAAAAAACAGTTACGATAGCTAAGGAAAGTTGAAGTATCAAGTATATGATCCTGTTTAGATTTGAAACACCACACTAAACAAAGCCAAAATGGCCGCCACGCTTTTGTTCCTATTGCTATGTATCGCCGCAAAGCTCATCTTTCGTTTTTGTTTTGTTTTGTTTTTAACTTTCTTTTAGAAACTTTTAGTGGTGCTGGGATCTAAAAATTTCATTACGAACGTTAAAATCGACGCATGTTTCTGTCTCTAAAGAAAAAAACTTGTCAATAAAAAATAATGGCCGCGGTTCTTGTTTCTCGCTTTTGAATGCACGCAAACAATATAAAAAATTGCATTAGATACAGTTTTGTTTTCGATCAAGAGTTGAGGATGAACACTTAATGCCCTTAGAGAACGGCTCCAAAAGGCATAGCTGGGAAATCAAGCACATGAAAGAAACTACGTACCTGGTTAGATGCGAATTACAGTATTAGCCTCTACAAATTTTGCTTATATCTTTAAATATACGATGATGAAATGCTTCTTGTTTCCCATATTCCCTTGCGGCGAAGTGAAGGTGTAGTTACCATAGTGAGGGGATTCCCCTGCGAGACCCTATAAAGGAAAAAAATTCAAATCTGCGTGTTCTGAAGCTTTTAGGACAAAATGGAACATGCGCTGACAATTCAAAACTAAATAACGACGATGATGAATTCCGAATGATCATCGGGTTGGCTAAATTTGATAATTTCTAGAAACTCGATGCTAAGTATATGTCTTAATAGGATGTGAAATGTATTTACAGAAAAAAGCACCCACTCAACTTACGAAGGGCGGGGAGAAGAGGCTCACAACAAAACGAGTGAGAATTTGAATGGTTTTTTTTATTATTATTATTTTGTCCCGAGGAAATATGTTAGATTAGAAAATCTAAAAGTTCTTTCTCGTCGTAGTAAACTTCAATGAATATGACGAGGTTGAGCATCGCGAATTCAGTTGCGGGAGGGTCGAACAGATCAGTAATTTGCCAAAGAAAAACAGGACTTGCGACAGATAATTGACCAGTAACAAAATTTGGGATCACCGAGTTCAATTATTGTTCCATCACTCAGTCGCTATGGTGGTCAATCATAATCATTTTTAGGAAATTTAAAAGAATTCTTTTAGAAACAATCTGGCATTTTTCAATAAAGGACACGTATAAACACAACAACGCATAAGCAGACTATTTGCAGCAATGTAAGGTTGTCGAGTATTACGCAAAAGTATACCGTAGTTCACTGGCAGATATTTGGAGGTATTGTAATGGGTTCTCGACCGATGGGAAGGAAAGAAACAGTCATACTATTAACATTTAACGTCAGAGGAAACGACTAGATTAGAAAGGAGAATAGCTTGCACCTGTAGTATTGTGTCAAATTCAGACCATTTCGATGGATAATTTCACTGACTGTTTACATCAACTCAGAATATATACAAATGTTTCAGTTTACAGAGCAGTAGTTGTAATTCTTAGGGTTTCTCCTCCCAACCGAAGCAAGCTTGCAGCACGAATTGATGGCGTCAAGCGCGAGACGAGCTTCCTCCTCTCGCGCATGACTCCTAAAAAACGCGAATTACAATACGGATGTTTCACCAGCCTTTTGCCGGTGTTCAGTTAGTAAAATGGAGCGTGATAGCAGCAGCGGCTTGAGGAATGGAGAGAGATTCGTGTCAGGTCGCGTAAAATCCAAACTTTTAGCCTTCAATTCATCAAGAGCGGATTTGCGTGGTCTGTTCTCTTGTCGAAAACTTTATTGACATCACGGTGGTCAAAAAGTGTCGTGGACTCACGAGGCGCAGCCGCCAAATTGGCCAATCGGATTACGACATTACTGTCAATCGAGGTAAACCTTCTTCTCGATTCCACCCAAACCTCCCTCTCGTACTCCGTTTAACCGAGTGAACAAACTACTGTAACGTTTCAGGCTGTCCTGTTCAGCAAGCATTAAATAAGTACGAGTCACAGTTCTGCAAGCTATCAAAATCTGACGAGGTCATGATTGGAGACCGATGATCACCTCAGTGAAAGTGGCTTTTACTGAAGCTTTTTTTTTTAACCGAACATGAAGTTAATTGACTAACGGTATTGAATCAAAGTAATTTTACAAACAAAAAGTAAGGACCATGTCTTACCACCTATAATTACAGGATTACCCCTTCAGCATTTAACGGTGAGAACCCCGGGATGAAAAGTTCATCAAATAGGACATTTTCATATTTTATTGGCCCTCTCAGCAAGAAAGTTTACACCATGCATATGTAAAACAGTAAAGTAACAAAATATAGTTCGACTGTGGAAGAAAAATCAAGCGATAGCGTATAACCAACGTGAAGTTATTTTCAGTACAATTAGCTATTTTCACTTGGTGTGTTACATTAATCTATAAACAATTACTGACTTCAAATTATAACTGCTCTGAGTAGACATCTATCAGTTCGGGTATTTTCACGACATTATTTGAGTCTATTTGCGTGCATAGATAGTAACTGGCCCCTTCAAGAAATCAAAAAAAAGATACGCTCTGAGAGAAGGTGGCCCATTCTGTTTTATGTTGTGGAATGTTATAACTTTACGTTCGACTTGGTGGCAACCCTCGACAACCCACGCATACATTGCTCCCGATATGTGCGCTGTTAGCCGCTTTATTGCAGATGACATCTAGCAGAAAAAGAAACCCACCCGGCCCCTTGAGCTCGATTCACTCACAAAAACAAACTGTTTTTTATCTAAAATGCTCTGATCACATAAGGAAAACTATCATCAAGTTGGTTTCATGTCGAAGAGATCTTCCCTGTAGCTAAAACTTGCAATAATTTTCCAAAATACATAAGGACGACTGGGGTTAGTGAATAATTTTCCACAGTTTTTCCCTCAGTTTAACGAACTTACGTCTGTGATCCAGCAGACAATTTATCACTGGCAGTTCTTCCCAAGTCTTCACTTGTTTTTGCTTTGCGCGAAAAAAGAATCACAAAAAGACCCCTACCTAACAACCGGCAAAAAGCGTTTCCAGTGTCTACCGCGAGGAGGTCAGCACAAAAGACACCAAAAAAAAGACACTGCAAATTCTCTGATTGACCATCTCAAGCAACCACTTTCGAAAGATAACGAAAATTTTCCTCGTGACTGAGACCGCCATAATAGTAAGCTCTCGTTACGAAGCTGAAGTGTTAGATAGTCTTAAAGGAGAATCGAATGCACTACAATCGTTCAAGGAGATGCTTGCAGACGTGACTTCACACTCCTTACATGCTTAAAAATCAACTTCCAAGAATGGTAAAACCTTCTTTAAAAAAATATTTAAGAGATCCTATCAATGGCGCCGAAGTCCAGCTTAAGTCTGAATTCTCGACGCATCGCGGAAAGGCATTCCACAACATAAAAACAGAAGAGAACATTGCCTACACTGTATGATTGCGTTTTTTCATAATCAAAATTTGTTTTACCGAAGCTAAACACTCGTTTTATTTTCGTTGATTCAAAACTGATCATTCTTCATCGCCATCAGAAACGGACTGTGCCTCAGTGGGCACATAAGGCAACTCACACAATATAAACCAAAATTGTTATTCTCTATGCGTAGGGTTACCAACTAAGCAATACTTTACGTGGACAACAAACTAACTAGTGTGTAGATGCTGAGCACTTAATAGCAGTTACACAAAAATTGTTATGGTTTTAATCAATCTCAACCGCAAAACTGCAAAAATCAAAATCAACCAAACGTAGGAAAAAATAATTAAATCGTCAACTTTAGCTTATGTCACTCCGAATTACGTTTAGTCATTGGCACCATACCTCATTCGCTGAAGCAAACAGCTACCGAATTACCCGTTTTAGAAAAACACTGCACCTACATCAATCGCATAGCAATATCATCATAAATTATCAAATCCAGAAAAAATCTTATGACTTATAATTCAATTGGAAACAAAAAAAACTATTTACCATAGCTCTGCATAGCGCTTCATGCCGAGAACTTACACTGTAATCGATCGTGGGTGAAGGTAAAGGTATAACATTAAGACGACTTGACGGAGAGCAAGCTGATAGCTTAAACTGCCACAATTGTAATAAAGAGAAACAGACTTTCCTTTACACCACATTGAGATCAGATAATCAAATCAAAATTAAAACTGTCCTGCCAAACGAAGAAAATGCTCGTCATTTCAGGTACAAAACAAACGATAACAACTGCCATGTATCACCTATGCAGCATGTACAAGCCATGTCAGAGCAATGGTAATGTCAAATGAAAAAAGAAGGTAATTTCAAAACAAATGACAAACCACAACTCAAAGTTCCCCTTCACAGATCAGAAATATCCACAATTATTTTCAGGAACATGGCGTCGTCCCTGACATATGCGTGATTATTCAGCTCAGCAAGCGAGCAGAACATCGGACACCCGCTGGCGATGTTTGTTTCTCTTCTTGGCCTCTGGAAAGATGAGCTGTTCGGATCGGGTCTGAAGGCGTCAATCACGTGTTCCACGTTGTCCTGGTCCAGCAACATGAAGGTGACCTTCTGTCTGAATGGCCAACGGAGCAGCGCGTCATACTGACCGCGCATGACCACAAAGAAGATCGAGATGTGCGTTCCTTTTCCCATTCCATCCCCGTTCAGGTAAATGCGAGCGCACATTTTGTAGCCATAGCGACTGGTGTAGAAACAAGGGCTATAGAAAGAGACTTGCTGGCCTGTCACTGCGTCATTTCGCTTGCGAGCATAATCAGGAATCTTCCACAACAGCTGGCCATCGTAGCTTGAGAACTCTTGCTGTTTTACATACTCCTCCAAATCAGCCAGGGTTACGTTCCTGAGTGCCAGTGTGTGCTCTATAGATTCAATCCTTCTGTCATGCCTTCTGGTACTCTCCTGGGTGGTATCAAGTTGCCTTTTCATATTACCCACGTCACGTCTAACTTCCTCCATTGTGCGATTGTTCTCTACCAGAAGAACTTCGTGGTCAGCGGTTCGGTTTTCAACGTTGGTAATCCTTCGTGTAACTTCTGGGTTTTGTGTACCACCGTTCGACTCGCCAGGTATTTGGGCAGTTGTAGCGGAACCCGACAGATTTCCTGAAGCCACTTTCCTCTCCAAGGCGGTAATTCTGTCACTGTGCTCTCGGCATTTTTCGCGTAAATTCCTCGTTTCACCCGCCTGAGTTTGAACTTGAGCGAGAAGATCTGCAATTACACTGTCGTAATTTGAGAGGATGTGTGGGTTTCTAGACACAATTCTGGGGTCACCCACTAAAAGTGCTTCCATCTCTTTGCTCATTCGTATAGCATAATGTAAAAGCAGAGTAGTGTGGAATGTATTATGTTTCTCCAGGTGCTCTTTCCTCTGCTTTTGGGTGAGGGCCTGTGGAAGAGAAGTGTGCCATTAGGAAAGATTTCAATGTACACTTAACAGGCCAAGACGATTTAGGAATTGATACACGTACATCAGCAGTCACATGATCAATCAAACCCACACAAAAGAAGAGTCCCACAAACTTATCCAAGTCCCTTGGCTATCAAATCGATCTTCTACGGACCGAACGAAAGCATACATGTGTATCTTTGGTTTATTTTAAGATTAAAAGGGTTCCCAGCTTCTTGGCGTTGCCTGTTTCCTTTACTTCCCATGCGGTTCCCTTATGCTTGCGATACGATATGCAGCAACTATCAAAACTGTTTAGAGGTACAGTCGAACCTGTATTAAGCGGCACCGTATTACCCGGTTACCCTGTATTAAGTGGTCGGTTGTCAAAGTCCCGAAATTCTTTCCCACTGTAATTTCCACCTCTTTTAGGTGGTCACCTCTATTAAGCGGTCGTGGTAACCCTGTGCTGAGTGCCAACGGCCTTATCCTATTGTCTTCTACCCGTCACCACTGAAAGGTCACCTAAGGGGGAGCCACTCAAATAAAACTAAGAATAAGCTTTAAAGTATATCTTATCCATCTTCGTCTCCCGAAATCAAAGCTAATAGTATTTTTGAGCAAGTTTTTGTACAAGAAGTGGTCAATCATGGCATAAAACCGTTTTTTACCGCACCCTATTCCGTGGACCCAGTATAGGTGGTCAACCTGTATTCAGCGGGCCCCCGCCATTCCCAGTGGGTGGTAGCTTAATACAGGTTCCACTGTTAGTAGTATGTACTGCTATACTAAAATCGAACTAAATGCCTCCTTTTCAACACACGCTGGACCTGGACGGGGCCCCGAAGTGAAACACGATTAAAACAGTGTGGCTGGGACTTCATTGAGTTTTCTAGACATGACGTGCTTCGACGCGAATACACGTATCTGTATTCCCCCTTTCATCGAGTTTATTGGTTTATTGAGGAGCTATACCATATTAACATAATTTTAGTATAAGGCTGTCAATAAGTACCTCAGTTGCAGAGCAGCCAATCTGTGAAAATGGGCACGGTCCCTGTACACTATCACAGTCTCCCATTATTGGATCTTGATGTTGTAAAAGCTGACGTACAAAACGAAAGGATACAATGTTATGCTTAATTAAAGAGAGGAAAGATACCAACTTTACACGACGAAAGCTATGATATCTCGAGGATACACCGTGAAAATGAAGTTTTACTCCGTTTATAAAAATCAAGAAACAAACTGAATTATCTTCGGAGAAACACGACTAAAAAGTGTTTTCTTTTCTTTGGAAGTGTACCAATGTTCTCAATACTGCTTATATTCTGTCTCATTGACAGGGTCACCATATCAATGTATTCCCTTGGGTGTGGGGTGGCGCAAAAACTAAATGTTTTTTTTTTTCGCTAGAACACAACACAACAACCCTAGTTGGGTATCATACCCAGACAACTTTACCTGGAATTTACATTCAAGAATTGTTTTAAATTATTCAATTTCAAGCTTTTCTCCAATTCCTACCATCAAAAGCTATTAGACACTGGCTTCAACAATTATATTGCCATAACATTCATGTCCAATTTTAAACATGCAACTAAACGACTTGAAAGCAAAATCAGGTGCTTTAGAATTATTAAAATGATGACATGTTTCATGTTTCTGTGACCAGACCATACACACAACGGCACATACCAACAACATTCCAAATTGTACTATGCACTCTACTGACCAAATTTCACTAGAAGATTTCAATACTGGCTCCATAATTTATATGAAGTGTTTCAATTCAAATTTTTTCACACCAGTTTTCCCTGCAACATGTAGTGTTTCATATTCCTTTGTTTCCAACCCAAAACCATCGATAAAGCATGGTCTGATTGGAAAATTCAAAACAAGAGAAACATTTTAATCAAATCATATCTTTATAGTTTACCTTTGCTCTAGGAATTCCATCTTTATTGCATTTTTGACATACAACTGGATATGCTGGGCAATCTGTCTCATGATGATGCTGTAAAACCACACAATTTGAAAGGTGGAGTTACCTTTGGCAAATACAGTGTCATAGAAAACATACACATAACCTCTATTAACATCCCTGATAGCTACCTATGCTTTAAATTTTGAAGCCTTGCGGAATGCCAGGTTAAGTATAATGAACATCAACTGTAAACCATTTGTCAGTTTACTATGTACAGTAGGTGCAACTGACAAAAAACAAACTTTGTGCACTTGTTAACTGTCTCAGCAGTCTAAATTATCAATGAAAATATTTCTGCTTTTTCTGCATTAGCCAAAGACATCTTTCACACAAAAAATGAGTTTAATTGAACAGATGTTCTGCAAATGGTTCCACAGACTAAGAGGATAATACCACTGAAACTAGAAATTTCAAAGTAAAAGCGAGTGCCGGCAAGGGGAAAAGGGTCAGGCTTACATACAAATTCAAATTATCTCAAGAATTGCAAAATGCTTTGTATTTGAAATAACATACCTTCATCTTATTAAGTTTGATTTGCTTCTTGCAGAATCCACAGGTTTCCAGTCTGCACTTGCATTCCTTTTCCAAGTGTTGGGTAAGATGTGATTTTTTCACTTGTGCTCCACACTCAGGATGTACACAGGGAATTTTAAGGAACTCACAGTTACTCAAGTGGTTCTGTTTTGGACACAATATTGATTAGCTTACCAATACAGTCTCTCCTTCAAGCAGGAGGCCTTCAAATTGGCTGTATTTGGAAACACAAACACAATATATGCAGTTTTTCACAAGCAGGTTGTACAACAAGAAAGGACCATAATACAATAAGTCTTTCAGCAGAACTTTTAAACCCTGTTTTACCAGGTTTCTGTGACCAAAGTCACGTCTCAGTGTTCTTCAACAGCAACTTGGAGAGTAACAGAACAATATAACTGAACACCTATTTTCATAAGTTGCTAGCCACACTCTCTGGATTCAAAATGATCAAAATGACTGCCCACTACAACCAACCCTCAATCAAAGGTTTTTGACCTCTTATAAGACCTCCTTTCATTCATAACCTTGAAAAAGCTTCCCTTGAAAAAGCTTAATACAACACTCCGAGCAGGAAGAATTCCTGGAACTCATAGTAAACCTTGCCCTCAACATGTAGCTCTTCTGCTTCACTGATTGTTAGAGCACTACTAATAATTGTAAATTAGCTCATGTCAGTGTGATAATGGGTTGCTGTTAGGGTGATAGTGTTATTTTCTTTCTCTAAATTCAAAATGATCACTGAAGCTACATGTACTTCTAACATTGCAGCCAAAGCATGATCTGGAAATAGCGTACGAGTTTTATGACATAGCCCCTTTATGCACACTGTCTACAGTGGTGTATCATCTCAGGGTCTTGTCACAGGAACTGTTGTATTAAGCCATAGTATTTTGATGGCATGATTCAAATACCATTTATTAGGACCAAATATTCTTTGAGTTGAAATTTTTGGAATGTAGGTTAGTGCATGACAATTAACCCAATTAAACATTTACTATACCTCTAGGTGTCTGACTTCTCCTTTCCAATTGCATCCTTCCTCCTCAAAAGTACAATTAACAACAAAGGCTTGTACTTCACGTCTCATGAAGTTATCAGGAAAAACCTTTAGAGATATTGAGAGGAAATGTTTAAGGATAAGTGAAAGTAAAATCCTAAAGGAAGTTGAAATAAACTAATTAAAAGACACACCAAGCAATTTACACTAATGTTTTTCAAGTACAGTGATCAAACTGTCCTCAACCTAATGTCATTGAATTGCAGTGGGGGCACTCTCATTTGTTCAGTTCTCAAAAGATGAGGAAGGGTTAAAGTTCCTTGTGTAGTTGAGATATACAAGAATAAAGAAAGATGTTTCCATGATGTCACTAGCATAGGAAAAAGAAAAGAATTCAAGTCCCTCTGATAAATTGTTCCCCAAACCTACAAATTCTGGGCTCTGATGTTCTATTTCACTGAGCTAGGTAGTCACACCTTAATCACAGAGTAACTGCAACATAGTGGCAGTACATTGGAGCTCTGTATCTGAAGGTCTGAGGTACCATTCATTATAAGGACATAGGGTTAAATTTTCCTTTATCCCATGCTCATAGCAAGGCAAAAGTGATCTCTCTTTATTTTATGACCAAGCTCAAAATTTAACAACTTTTTTATTCAATATATAGGCTGGAGTAATTATTATTGGCAGTTTTTCCTGCCAATATGATAAGGAAACTATCATTAGTTTGCATTTGTGACATCAAAATTTGGTTTTGCTACAATAATGAAGTCCTACCTCATTTGGGAGAAACTCTTTCTGGTCCTGTAGACAGGTCATTCTTGTAGATCCATCTCTAAATGGCATTAAGTCACAACTTTAATGCATTTTATCAAGATGGATATATATTTGTATCAAATAATATCAGCTACTGGTAATTGCAATTCAAATAGAACCAAATTGTATCTTGTCAAACTGTCATAAGCCTTGTTCATGAAATTTATGGCACTGACAAATACAGTTATAGCACAGGGTAAACCAAAATAAACAGGATTTGTCCATGGCTTGCGAACAAATTATTTACAGAAGCCTATAATTGAGGAAACAATTTTAGTTCAACCCCAAACAGCATTATGCATACAGTTCTTTGAGGTAAAATTTCCGCACAGCTCCATACTACATTATGCATTCAGTTCTTGAATAGAGAAAACAATGACAAAAACAATACATTGCCATTGGGAAAACAGATTTGTTTCACAATAGTGTGGGGCTGTGCAGAAATTTTATCTTCTTTGATACAAGAAATCAAGCAAGACAATAGATAAACTTTGGGACTATGGCTTTCTCTAGAACAGTATGGTGTTAAGCAAACATGTTTCCCAAATCATTTTCCTCAAAAAGTAACAGACAACACTAAGTATGGGCAGACCAATTTTTGAAGGCATTATTTGAAGGCCACAAGATGTGCTGTATAGCAAATAGAAGGGAAAAATTGCATGGCATAATGATTTAAATGTATGACTGAATGAAGCTACAGTGTCAAACCAAGGTAGTAATGTACACTGTTGTAACATATAGCATCAAACGAGTGTGGTACCAAAAACCGAAAACTGTTCTTGGCAACAACATTGATAAGCACAATTTGAAGTATAATTCCCAAATGTTCGAACTTACTGAAATAAGCTGGCCAAACAAGAACTACAGTAGAAATGACCACAAGAAGTTTGCATAGCATCCCGTAAAAGATAACCACATGAACTACAAGTATACTTGGAGCCGAGCCGTTGTTTCTCAGCATTGGAAAGCACGTAGCCTGGCATCTTCTGGTCGTTACTGAGTTTCTGGACGCCTGGACCCCTACAAAGAGAACAAGAAGGTTTTTTATGGAATAAATATTGTGAAAAATGACACTCTGTAGCATTCATACCTTCAAAATGAAGTCTAAGAGAAAAAAGGAATATAACATAGCGAAGTCGTGATAAAAAATGCAATCAAAGCAGAAATTTGCTCTTCAGCGGTTTCTCGTCCTAAAACCTCGACCCCGTGTAATTCCCCAAGCCTTTCTTCTGACCCAATGCTTGATTCTGTTTGCCTTGTTCTCTTTAATATCGCCTTCCGCGTTTTTTTCCTCTTTTGGCACGCGTGCTTTTTCTGAATTATCCTGTCTCCCCTTCTTCTCCATGTTTTCTTGCGTTTTCTCCCATTGTTCTCTTTTTGAAAAGTTGTCGTTGTGTCAGGGAAAAAAATATTTTCCTAAGTTACCTCCGTCAAATTATATCGTGAAAAATCCCGCAAAGATGTTACCCTCCAAACCCCCCAAAAAAAACACATACACACGCCAGAAGAATTTCACTCCCACTCTCTCCCTGACAACTTTCTTTTAATACCATTCATGGTCCTAAAAGCAACGCTTTACATTTTAGCCGGAAAGAAATAAACACGAGTGTAGCTCCCATTTCGTGCCTGTATTTTGACGTCAACATCCGGGACATCAGTCATGTACTTTGTCGAAAAAGCACTAGTCGACGTGTTCATACTGGCATATTTTGCTAACCAAAATTGTTGAGTTATGGTCACTTTAAACTCGAAACAATCAATTAGTTCTACTGTATTTCGTGTGTATTGTAATATCAGTCGCTGAAGGTGTAATTTTTTTGTTCGTAGAGAACCTGCCTTACTGCCTAACTGGATGTTTACTCGGCTTGATTGCTGGAGCATTTGTGGATTTTTATTAAACTACCTGTAAATAAATGGTTGAGTTTTCGCTCTCGAGTCTTACACCTATGTGGTTCTGCGAACCGCTTAATAATAAGTCGATAATAGATTATGGCGTCGAAGAAAAAAAGAATGAACGCTATCCAGCACGTCACCCAGGTGTGCCGCATGAGGGTTCAGTTAAAGGATTTAAAATAAAAATAGACCGGTTGTCGATGAATGCATGTGGCTGCTGATATAGCGCGATTTTAAAGCATTGAAAAGAACTAGAGGTTGTATAATGACGCTAGATCGTAGCGTTGCAGAATATTTGTCTCACATGCAAAACAGAAAGTCTGCCTCCTATAGGAGATAGTGGCCACAAAGACTGATTATAGAAGATGCCTCAGTCGTGCATATTAGTAAATGAAAGCGTGCTGTTCCTGACAAATAGATAAAAACTCCAGCTACATGTACGTTACGATTCAAAATTTCCCTCTCACTCAACGGAAAATTTGTATTTCTACATTTTAAGAAGTTCAAAACTGCGTCTTAATTTTACAACAAAAATGGAAATTCTTATCGATTATGGTTCGAAAATTTCGATTTTCCTATTGTTAGTATAATTTCTATGCTTTTTGTTCTTTTCTAATTCTTTGATGCCATGAAGGAAAATTGCTGAGTAAGGAATTATAGCACGTCCTGTTATAAAAACAGCGGGAGACCGAATTATTCTTTGTAACTGATAAGTTGCCGTGACATATTTTATGTTTTACATAGATTTTTACTCATGTATGGTAAAAACTCACCACCTTTCGCAATATTAATTTCGTTTCGTCTTACTTTAATAGAGTGATTTAGCAAGAGGACGGGAACGTCATTTCAGAACGGCGTGCACAGCAAAAATGCCGAGTAAAACTGGGTCGAGAAGGCCGTCGCGTTGTGTTGAAAAGTGACTTAGCAGTCGTTTCAACGAACCGTCCACGTTATGTTTGTTCTTGAATATCCTAACCTTGGCTCTTTAGGATCATTATCAGCTTTGAATTTTCGGTTTCATAGACCACTTGAAGGACAACGAAATTATCCTCTTTGAGAGTGTAACGAGCACAAACCGACGATAGTTTACTACAAGTGAGTTGTTAATATGAATCCACAGGGGCGATTAAACTTTGAAATTAAATTATTCCATTCCAGTTAAGTCTCGAGTCTGCAGATTCACCTATCAAATTTTGAAGCCCATTAAATATTTTTTTCGATGATTTTTATCGCTGTCATTTCGTTTCGTGTTTCTAGATTTCAACACTACTCGTTTTTCTTCATAATTTAGTGTTTACTGAATATTTTTCTCAATCACGACAGTACACCTCTTTTAAACACCTTCTTAGAGTTGATATGCATTTTGAACGGAGTTATCAGGAGTTATAGCGAAAACACGTAGAGATCAAGCGACCCAACGATGGAGTTGTTTACAATGAGTTCCCGTTTAACCATGAGCGAATGAAATGCACTCAAACTAGTCACCAACGACACGGTTAGACTGAGGAATCAGTAAAAATCTTAAAGTATCTAAATAAACCAACTGAATAAAATTATGCCGTTAGTTATCGGCATATAATCTTTCAGTATGTATATGTGCAGACTGAGCTAGATTGCGCCGTTAGTTAATGGCGTAAAATCTTACAGTATTTATAAACAGCGACTGAGCCAAATTACGATTGTGATTTCCGGCGTAAAATCTTACAGTATGTGTACTTTATGTTTCATTAATACACAGAAGGCTTTATCCACCGCAGCATTCGCGCTTCTAAGAATCCTTTGATGACCTAAGAAATTTATTACAGCCTAATTTGTTTCGTCTTGCTTTTTGTGTGTGTGTGTGTGTGTGTGTGTGTGTTTGCGTATCTGTGTTAGGCCGTTAACTAAAGGCGTCATTTCCTTTAATCGGTGATGTAAATACTTTAAGATTTTACGCCATTAACTAACGGCGTAATTTCATTCAATCTTTAATATACAAACTGTACGTTACGCCGTTAATTAACGGCGTAATTTGGCTCAGTCTTATGGCGTAACAAACCGTTCAAAATTTTCAGTCGGTGATGTAAATACTGTAAGATTTTGCGCCGTTAACTACAGGCGTAATTTTATCCAGTTGGGGATATGCTTACTGTAAGATTTTACGCCGTTAACTTGCGAAAACTGTAAGATTTTAACGCCCATGCGTTAACTAACGGCGTAATTCTATTCAATCTTTATAATATACATACTGTAAGATTTCAAGCCAAAAACTATCGGCGTAATTTCTCCTGGTCGGTTAATATACGCCATTAACTATCGGCGTAATTTCTCCCAGTCGGTTAATACACGCCATTAACTATCGGCGTAATTTCACCCAGTCGCCGGAATAATACACGCCGTTAACTGACGGCGTAAATTGGCTCCGTCGGTTAATATACATGCTGTAAGATTTTTCCTTCGAGTTGGTATCATACATACTATAAGATTTTACCCCGTTAACTAACGGCGTAATTTCCTCCAGTCGGTAAATGTATATACTGTAAATTTTACGTCGTTAATATGATTTTATAATATATTAATTTATTATAATTAAAATATACCTAGGTAGATAGTGGCGTAAAATAGTACAGTATATAGACTGTGTTAGTCACATATTACGCCGTTATCTAATTACCGAAATTAACAACACTCATTTTTCAGCTAGCAGGGTCATTCCTAGGTAAATGATTAGTTTTCGATAGATATGGGTTGGCTAAATAGAAGTATAATAAAAATATCGTCTCATAAGAAAACACAAATGGTTCTGCGAGAGAGCTTACAAACTCACTATTACTACACACAATCATAATTCATACCAAAATTACGAATACAAGATTTCATCGTGAGCTATCCTTAGCCTTGCTTTGTTCTTCGCCATTATAGTCATCGATTTGAGTCGTTAGAGCTGCTCTCAGACGTTGTCCGTTAAAAAAGCAAACGGTTATCGTGAGCAAATTCAAATTTGAAATTGAACAAATTCTATTGGACAAAACTGAACGATACCGACACAGCTAGAGTTCTACAATTTGTGACCTTCAGTTCGTTTACTTTTAGTCATCATTTATATCAATCAACGGTAAAAAGTTCTAATGCTTCTAGTAAATCTCTAATTAGTTTAAGAAAGCTTAAAGTGCGTCTAAATTTGAAATCAAATATTGATAAATCAAGCCCTATTTGGTGTTTTTTCTCTCAGCTATAAAGTTCTAGTCCTATCGGCCAGAAGATAATGTACAGAGAACGCTCAAAATATTCTGTTTACTGTAATATTTGACTCTCATGTTTCCATAGAGTGAAATCGAAAGGGGAAAGCTCCACTGAATCAAGGAGCAAATCGAGCGAGAAGATTTTATCAGCACAAGGATTTTATAGTGAAGTTATGCCTACATAAGTTCACAGCGAAATACAATTTGTGTTATTGAATACATAGCAAGCTAACTTAAGAAAAACAAGAAGGATTGACACTAACAAAAATAAGTTAATCAGGCCTGGATTTTGTTTTCCGAGGGCATCTATGCGGAAATGACCGTGTAATACCCAAAAATTACAAGACACTTAGGAAAAAAATTAATGTTTTACATTCAGTTATTGTTATTACCCACTTAGGTTTTACAAGCCTAAAGTGAAAACTTTCAGCCATCTGACTGATTCATGTAATGTTTTATGTGCACATATGAAGGCGGAAACCATCAGCATTATTAAGGTGCAACAACAAATTTTAGTATTAAGCTGAACACCCACGAAAGCTCAATTTAAAGGATGTTTCCCTATTTTTTAGAAATAGGTGGCCGTTACCTCGATCTGCACCCGTTATATTTTGTTGCATTCCCGCTTTCAAAAGGTCCATTGATATGTTTTAAGTCCAAGGAAATATGAAAAGGCATGCAGGTTTTGGCGCATGTTATCATGCGCACAAGACTAACGAGGCCCAGTTAGAGTAGCGATGATTTCTTTTAACGTATTAGGATAAACGGTATCACGGATCCCTTATCAGAAAATAGCATACAATTTAGTTATTTAATGTTCATATTTCCTCTCCAGACATTTGGGAACCTATTTTATTCGTACGAAATTGTATATGTTGTTTGAATATTATTCAAGTAATTTAAGCTTTCGCTTTAGCATCAAGCCTAAAGGTGTCTTAGACCAAATCAGATTAAAATGTTCTTGTTAAATGTATGAGAATAAAAAAGGACATTAATCAAGTTTAATATAATGATTCAAGTAGGCTGAAATGGTTGATTTTCCTATGAACTGAAACCTTTTCACGAGTAATTCATACGTTTGTATTAACCTATTTACAAGTCCACGGCTCAGTTGCGTGAACTATGTGCACACTAAAACTTCGAGTATTTCACTCAGGTTTTGTTCCAACTAGTCAAAATAACAGTTTTCCAATCCGATCCGAATTATTGCTATTTGTAAGGAAACTCGATAAAGCAAAGAATTTAAGGTTCCTGATTTCATTATACCAAAACACTAACATCATGTTGCGAAATAAGTTAGCCGGCGCTCATCTGTCGAGAGGGCAAAGGCGCAGCATGAAGTATATCATTCCTACCTTTTGGTTTAGTGATCTGCTCCATCCTTGTTTCGCAAAGAACCCACGTATTTAAGTTCTGCTCGAAAATACCTTTCTTCTGGCAAGAATTTTCAGGTTCAGGTTTTGTTCAAGCCCATGATCCTAAAATTGATCCGTCGAGTCGAGTACATTTTCTTGTCTGTTCTCGCGAGAGCAAAACAACATAGAGAACTTCGGACCATCAAGCTGATATGATCGAATCCTCTTTCCATTTTCCTGCATTTCTTGTCTTGACTTTATAAGATACTGTGAACCTCGAGCAGAGTAAGTCAATCTTCTGTGGCAAGGTTTCAAAAGGCCAATAGTATACATGTAGATTGCTCGAGCTCGAATGTGAGAACATAATTTCTTTCACCTTGAGTATTGCAAAATTTCCACTTAGGGCCCTCCTCGTCAACAATTTTCGAAATCGCGGTAACAAAAGCTTAGTAACGAAGGCAAATCGACGGTAAAACAATGCTGGAATTATCATATCGGTAAAGCAACCCTGTCATATTCTTAGGTCAAGCGCTCAAGGAAAGTGAAGTTTCATGATTGGATGGTTATAAATAATCTCTGGTAGAATAACCTTCCGGGCTGATAACATATGCAAAACAAATCAAAGCCTCTAAATCCATGAAAAAAATCTAAAGTTATCATGAAGATAAATTCTTGGTGATTTGATCTCTACCGTCGGCGATGTACGACTTTGTTATTATAGATTGACAAAATCAGTTTAAAACGGCGACTTGGCCAAAGCGCCAGACACGGCGAGGTGTAGCGTGCGTTTGTGTGACATCCTGAAACAACACAGACAAAAAATTCTCGGAAACAGGAATAAATTAACAGTCGCTTTTTCGACCCAAATGACTGCACACCGGCGCTCTTGGTAGTTTCAAGCTTGAGTGTCCTTTAATGCTCCAGACGCAACAGAGATATGCTTATCAGTAAAAATCGAATCACTTCCTATGCAAATAAATATTTTGAATCCTGTTAAGATTATATGTCACAGAGGAAGTCTATTCTGATACGTTGATAATAGTACCTTCTGTTGATATATTTAGGATGTAAATACAATAAATATGCAAGCTTGTAGAAATATATAGTTGTTTACTACAGCTTGTTTGATCCATTTATTGTAACAGAGCACTGGATTCCAACGTGAACACTTAAGCTGAGCTGGACTGTGTTTGAAAAAAATATATTATTTTAAGTTTGATCTAAAAATTTGTCCACAGCGATGCCTATTAAAGCAAATTTTTGTTACTGCTAGTTCGAAAAGAGCTCTGGACGAATTAAGTCCCTCGTGAACTTTAGCATAAATGTTGAAACGAAAATTTCAGAGAATTCGTTTCTGTAAAAAGTATACAACTTGGAATTATACCTGTACATGTGTTGCTAGTGAAGGAGAACATTGCATACAGCTATGCTGTGCACATACTAGTTTTAGATTCTTATTGGGGCTTTTAGTGGTATAGAGGAAGATTTCAGAAATTACCCCTGCACCAAAGTCAGTTCACCAATCGCAAGCTTTCCAGTTACAGCAGGCGTATGCCGACTCAAAGGGTGAATACTTTGGCGAGGAACATTTGAGAACAAACATTCTGTTTAACAAATAGAGAAGCCTTGACTGTGCTCTGTTCTGTTATAAAACACGCAGGAAGCGGCTAGAGCACGAGAGAAGTGTAGGGAGAAACACGAGACGTAGTCGTAGTCCCTACTTCTTGAAAAAGAAGTCCCGGAAAAGGTCGAACATAGTACAATTTGGCAGATGGCGTGACATCTTTAGCTCAGCTCTATGCTCTATACTCTCATAGAGCACGCTCTTTCAACCAATGACAGCGTGCGTTATATCCGAACTTTATTATAATATCAATTATGTTAACTAATGAACGATTTATTGTGTGTTCATGTAAAAATTATCACTGGAAAATGCAAATTTATTCCCTGGCTAACAGCAGCGTTGGAAGTAGCTAGCAGAATTTAATGCTCTCGCTGTTCACCACTCAAGTACATCAAGTACATCAGCAAAAGCTTCTCGTTTTGTAAATTTTTTTGGTTCTGTTTTTCTCTAAGTAGGAAATTGCAATGTTGTTAGAGAAGAGGGGAATAATTAGGATTATAACATAAAAAATAAACCTGAGGGTACAGTTACCAGACAGACGAAAATAAACTTTAACCTATCTGCTCCACATTGCATTTGATGCTTAGTTTTTTACTAAGTCCGATAGAATACTTGATCGATTATGAAGTTTGCTGGTATAAATGTAATAGCGCATATATAACATCGTTTAATTTATTTTACATAAGAGAGCTTTTTTTAAAAATTGGAGTGGAAGACAACAACCCAAATAATATTCCTTTAACCGACGGATAAAGATTAGAATAATCTGACTCTTCGCAAAAGTGCTTTTGAGAATTGACAAACAGTCACTATCTTGTTTAATACCAAAGCGACATAATTCTTTCCTCGTATAGCTATAATTCTATGTAAGAATTTGAACTGGAATTCTTTTAGTTTATTCTCTCCACAGATCCTGTTCGCCAACTTGAAGAAGTGTTCCAATTCAGAGGGGTTTAAATTCATAGTGTTATTCCATCTAGCTGGGCCAGTAAGAAATGATTGGTAGGTCTTTTTATTTGGTAATTAATAGAAATCTTTTGCCCTTGCTTTTTGTAGATCAATTTCAACACCTTCAAATTCGATCTTGATACAATTTCCAAACTAATTTTCTTTAGGAGGTAACTTGAAGTTATGTGCCAGTTTAAAATATTTCTACAGTCATATTTCGTTTGAAATTCTTGAAAGGAGAGAGGCAGTCCATTTTTGTCAAGGGGCTCTTGAATATGAATTATTCCTTTGGAAAACCATTCCATTACAAAGAAAGGTTTCCCTCCTATTAAATATCTTTATTGTTAGAAAGGATAGTTTCCTGTCCCTGTGCATGATTATAAATAGATCTAATGTCAGCGAAGAACATTATAATATCCTTGTGAAGGACTGGTAATTCAGGATGTAAATATTTTGTGTCCTATCTACATCTGAGCAGAAAGTAAAATCCTCCAAGTTTTTTAGACTTCCAGATTTTTATTCACGAACGAAGACTCTCTCGAGTAACTTTTCTCCGAAAATGATATTTGAGAGGGTGCTGGTCGCGTCTCGGTGAGGGCTTGACCATCACCAACTCATAGAGAAAACTCCTTGACGTTCCAGTAAAATATTATTAATCATAAAAGATTCAAATTACATGCGATCTATTCAACGCGATGGAGAGTATTACTGCTTTGCAAAGAGAAGTCTTTAACTTATGGGCTTGGTTAAGGCAAAGTTCTCTATTGTAACT